GTCGTGTTCTGTTTAAAATTGTTTTAATGCTATTATTGCTATATGTATGTAAATATAATTGGACCACACTTTTATTAACGCGTGGTTAAAAAATTTATCAACGTGTTTAGTAAATTGTTGCAAAAGAATACGAGAAATGTCTAAACACTATCCGTTGCTAAAATTTGCCGAAAACATCCTATCGCTTCCAAACCCTTTACTTAAGAACCGAAATCGCTTGTAACCGCGGCGTATTAAAGTGACGAGCTTGACAGGCTAGATCGGTGCATAATTGGGTATTTTAAAGCAGGAAGTTGAAAAAACAATACTCGCATGCCTTTCTGTTGGAACAAACTGGTTAATAAGTTATTATTTGTCATTCAAGTTGTATTTTATGCTTTGAAGTACACAGTACTTGCCTTATAAAAACAAAAATATAATAAAAGTAATGTTACGAAAAAATTGAGGAAGAATTTCTTCATTTTTGTTCCTTTACTTCAAACTGCGTGCAGCATTTGTAAAAAATCATTGTAATTAATGTATTTTTCCACTCCCGTCTGTAAAATACTAATTACCCACCGATCTAGCGTGCGGGAAGTGTCACTTTACCACGTCAATGTCTTTTTCCATGAATCCGAGCTACTTCGGACATTTCCGGGATTTTACCGCACGGAATTGGGAGCAATCGGATGTTTTTGGAGATATTTCCCACGCTTTGACGGTCATGTCAGTGAATGTATTCGTGTTGTTTTGCTAAAATGTACCCAAAAACTGACGGTCGTAGAATAGGTATAGCATGCAACACGTTCGGTAAACTTGTTAACTCACTCGTTTATTAAAAACTCGTCCCGCTGCGCTCCGCTCGTGTCAAATAAACTCCCGAGTCAAATGTCGCTTACCGCACTTGTTGCATAATATACTATTTTTGAAAAGTAGCGAATATAAAGAAGTGAGTTTAGATGTCGAATATATTAAATAAGTTGTGTTAAAATTAATTAAAGGGCGCGCCATAAGAAAAACATAATCTAACTTTCTGAAGCGATTATATAAAACAATTTAGTGTATGCACCCCACGCACTTGTGCAATTTTTAACGAGGTAGAATTGGGACAGGATATCTCAGTAATGTGGAAAAGTTATATATCCCCTCTTTTGTCACTATTTTCAATTATTTCAATAGATGTTTCATAAAATCAAAATATATGCATTTTAAAAATATTTTCAAATGGACAAGGTGTTTCATAAAAGTGTGCGAATACAAAAAATATATATTTAAGTGCAACACCCTATCTATTGTGGCGTTATATGGTTTTTTTTAGCACCTCCTGTACCTTTCAGTTCATTCAACACAATTCATAGTCAAACGCATTTCAAGAGTTTCATAATGCGCATAAGTAATTATTTCATACGGGGTGGCGTCTAAACTCATGTTTAATTTTTAATTTAAATAATGAATTTACTACGCTCTTGGATATTTCCGAACGAATATAACATTGTGGATTGATTACAATATAAATAATATTTTTGAATATTGAAATATTGAAAATTGAAAATTACTTGTACAAAAATTGATGTTTGTCCGAAAAAATAAAAGTTTTGAACTTTTTTTTATAGAAAATACATGCGAGGGTAATTGTAATTGTAAATTGTGGTTTTGGCTGTAAGGAAGCCAGGTTTTTGTAAGCATTAAGCATGTAAATTTGAAATAATCAACGAAACATTGCGTGGTACACATAAGATCTACATAAAAAAGTTTAATGTAAAAGCTTCTTATTTCTATATGTATACGGAGTGAATAGTTTTTTCTACTTTCTTCTTCAGCTCGTGTATTGATACACATTCCGTGAGCGAGTTTCAAGACAAGTTCAACGATATATAATAGTGGGGATCTGTTATGCGATGTTTCATGTGCAGAAGAATTTATCTTCGTTTTTCGAAAATGCTGAAGTAGCTACATGGAACAGCGTTGCTACGTTTCGCGTTTTGCAAATTTACTACATTTTGTATATTACTTTATGGTATAAAATATAACATTTCAAACAATACCAGAGACCATCATACTGATTCTTTAATTTATTCTAAAAAATCAAAAACAGAAAATTGTTATATTATGTTAATTGAAAATTATTGTATTATTGTATTGCATTATCATATCATTTCTTAGATCAGATAGTGGACGTGCATCATGCTATACATCGATTATATAGGCAATCCACACAATCATTATTTTTATTTTAAAAACAAATTTAACTATCCTCAAATTGTGTTCGACAAGAACTTGCCTGTACGTTTTCGATTGGCCACCGTGTTTAAGCTCTTGATTTTTTTAGAATATTTAGAATTCTTAATTTTTACTAAATTAGTAAACATTCGATAGTTATACTATTCACCAGAAAAACCAGGACGTTTATTTCTCAAAAAAAGGCTCAAAGGCAATGTTTGTTTTACATCCAGGGCCGGTTTAAATGGAATTCGGATCTTGTGTGCCATACCTGTAGTCTGAAATATTGTTCTGGATTTTGTAAGTTGTGGCAGTGCGAGAACAATTTTTAGCAATCGCTTTTATTTATTAAGGAAAACAAATAAAGTGCTTTTTTTTCTATTTAAGGAGTTTTTTTATTCCTCCAGTTATAGGTACTTCGTAGTTTTTATTATCCTTGTGGATGCCTTGTGAATTTGACCTATTTGTTCCGGTAGTCGTTTTTCGGTAGTAAAGCATTTGATATTAAAGTTCAATCAATTTTATATTTAAAATTTAAATATTTTGGGATCCACCTAGAAGACAGGTTTACTTTAATTGATAGGGCAGTTTCCCAAGGTAGTATCTTGCTCTAATATTTTCTGTGTATACAGCTAATTTCGCAGTTTTTTTTTTAATTCTGTAAATCTCATGTGTGGATGTTAATCTCACTATCGATAATATTAACATCTATTTAAAATTAAATAGTAGCAAGACAGGATTGTTAGTCTTTGGTACCAATAGAACTCAGTAAAATAACTTCCGCGTGTGCGTGTGTGTGTGTTAGTGTGTGTGTGTTTGTGTGTGTGTTTGTGTGTGTGTGTGTGTGTGTGTTTGTGTGTATGTTTGTGTGTGTGTGTGTGTTTGTGTGTGTGTGTGTGTTTGTGTGTGTGTGTTTGTGTGTGTGTGTGTTTGTGTTTGTGTGTGTGTTTGTGTTTGTGTGTTTGTGTGTGTGTTTGTGTGTGTGTTTGTGTGTGTGTGTTTGTGTGTGTGTGTGTGTTTGTGTGTGTGTTTGTGTGTGTGTTTGTGTGTGTGTTTGTGTGTGTGTGTGTTTGTGTGTGTGTGTGTGTTTGTGTGTGTGTGTTTGTTTGTGTGTGTTTGTGTGTGTGTGTGTGTGTTTGTGTGTGTGTGTGTTTGTGTGTGTGTGTGTTTGTGTGTGTGTGTGTTTGTGTGTGTGTGTTTGTGTGTGTGTGTGTTTGTGTGTGTGTGTGTTTGTGTGTGTGTGTTTGTGTGTGTGTGTTTGTGTGTGTGTGTTTGTGTGGGTGTGTTTGTGTGTGTGTGTGTTTGTGTGTGTGTGTGTGTGTGTGTGTGTGTGTTTGTGTGTGTGTGTTTGTGTGTGTGTTTGTGTGTTTGTGTGTGTGTTGTGTGTTTGTGTGTTTGTGTGTTTGTGTGTGTGTGTGTGTGTGTGTGTGTTTGTGTGTGTGTGTGTGTGTGTGTGTGTGTGTGTGTGTGTGTGTGTTTGTGTGTGTGTGTGTGTGTGTGTGCGCGCGAGAGAGAGAGCGAGAGAGAAAGAGAGTTTTTATAGTAGTAATAATTCTTTTCTGCCATACTTTTGACCCAACGTTCATATCAAATACCAAAACAGTATAACACTATATAAGTGAATAAGTGTCCAAAAATGATATCAATAACAATTACAATGCACCAAGATACTCACCGTTTTTCAGATGCACTCGCACGCCAAGCCCAATGTGTTTCTGTATTTTTTTTTGGTAATTTGTAAATATACGGTTTCAGAGTTAGCGAAAAAACGACCCAGGAAAAATGGACAACTCAAGGCTAGCGTTCAAACGAAAAATCGTGAGAAACCGCTGAAGAAGGTACAAGAATTTATGAACACATTGTCGTCGATGATGATGCTTTACGCCATCAAAGAGAAATTAGACCTTCTGCTAAAGTTTGTCGGCACAGTAATCTCCGTTAAGATGTTGATGGTATCCATGGCAGGATTAATGCTCAAGAAACTCCAATTCTTCACGGAGTTGAAAAAGCTGAAAGAACCGAATCATAAACTGATCTATCAGCAGGAATCATTTCACGACCACCACTATCCTAGCGATGGTCACGGAGCAGCTTGGTGAGGAAGATGAAAATATAAAGAGATGTCGAATACAAATTGGCCGACCAAGGGATTCGAAGATCCAACAGTAAAAGCAACAACTTGATCACTAGACACACTTTTGGACATTTGACTTTTTATATTCTTTAGCTGATTGGATAAAATTTATTTTTTTTTAAATCGAATTTTTTAACGGAAGTTTATACAAATATCTTGGTGTCGAACGAATCATGGTTTACCAAGTAGGGACGTAACAGTACTGTACTCCTAATTGTTTTGGCGGTACCGTTCATTAAAAGGCGATAAATTACAGCGATTCAAGCGGTCTTCTAGAATATTAAGTATGGCCCCGTTTCGCTGATTGGCCGTTGATTATCTTCTACAAAATTTGGCCGACATAGTCAAACAACAAGCCCTATTTTTTGGTAAGGTAAAGAAATCATTTTTTCAATTAAAACGATTTAACGATTTTCATTTTTTGGGAAAACTTGAAATACAATCAAGGTCTTCAGATTGTTAGCAATGATCTTAAAATAAATGTCCTACGTAGTCCTATGTAGTTTCAACAAATAAAAAAGAATGGGCAGTGATTTAAAATCTCGATTCGTTGGCACCCAACTCGCAGAAGCGGGAGGTCTTCTATCTTCTTCTTCCTTCCGCCACGATCACATATTGGATCCTATAAAAGTCATTGGGCCCTGGTGTTGTCGCACAGTGACGAATGATTTCTATGGGGCGTCAGGGACTTCGCGTAAAAATGTTTTCGGTTTTGGTTTTGCCAACCGTATTGTGTTTGACTTATGCCGCTCCTAGTATCAGGGTACGTACCATTTTTTCTATTTTTATTTATATTTTTTCGGTATAATTATTTGAATTCCTATTTTTTTAAAGAAATGCAGATTCTTTTAAGATTTCAAAAAATTTTACGTACATTTATCAATTCGAATTGTAAAGTTAATAGGTAAATTATACAGGGTGTTACTTTTTTTTAGGAAAACATTGTATAGACATGAGATTATTTGTTGTATAAAAATAACAATAAAAACAAACTGATTAGGCTACGTTTCTGTAATGTTCTATTATTTTTTGCCATTATGGCATATTTATAATGAAAAACAAAGTTAAATTGCTAATATTTTGAACTATATACAACTTTTATAATTTTTTTCATTCAAATTTTTAATGCTAGTTTTGGTTAGTTTATTTATTTGTTTATTTTTAAAAAATCAACATACACTACCAAAGTAGATTCGCTACTGTAAGGAAGTTACCCTAATATGTAATAACGTGTTGCAGTTGGAGAGTATGTATGTCTGGAAAGGTTCCGAGGAATTGCATCAATATATAATATTTAAGAAACTTGTTACTTGACAACGAAAATTCAAACACAATATATGAATGGTAATATAATATTTTAAAAGTACCAGTGAATCCAAATAACTTTTTTCTTTAACTTTTTTGCATGTTTTTTACATGTTCTTAGATATGTATGTATTCCTGAACCTATTTTAAAAAGAAAGGTTTATTTTAAACATTTTTGCCAATATTGTTGAAAATTTGGCAGCATTATTTGCAATAAATATTGCAATAAAGTCCCAAGTTCCAATATTGTTGCACGGAAATAATAGGTCAAATAAAACATAATTTGCAAATATACGTTTTTTCAGGTTCTCCAACAATTTTTGTTATAATTAAAATATATATATATATATATATATATATATATATATATATATATATATATATATATATATATATATATATATATATATATATATATATATATATATATATATATATATATATATATATATATATATATATATATATATATTCTCACGTATTGATTCACGGATGGAAAAATGTGATGACACTATATTCCGGGATATCATCCGTTCGCTCGTTGAACTCCGACTGGAATCCTGCAAAACCTGCAACCGACTGGAATCCTGCAGACGTTTCGCCAAAATCTCACTTGGCATCTTCAATGCTCGCGCTCCGAGTGTTCGAAGTGTTTTCGGAGCGCGAGCATTGAAGATGCCAAGTGAGATTTTGGCGAAACGTCTGCAGGATTCCAGTCGGATGCAGGTTTTGCAGGATTCCAGTCGGATGCAGGATTCCAGTCGGAGTTCAACGAGCGAACGGATGATATCCCGGAATATAGTGTCATCATATATATATATATATATATATATATATATATATATATATATATATATATATATATATATATATATATATATATATATATATATATATATATATATATATATATATATATATATATATATATATATATATATATATATATATATATATATATATATATATATATATGACGGAAAAACAAAGCACTGAAAATCTGAAAATGATCAGCGATGTTGCTATCACAGTAATGGAAATTAAAATGCGAGTAGTAAATACATACATCGAGAACTTTAAATAAAAAGATGTTAGTAAGAAACAGTCACAAAAACTAAGAAAAAGAAACAGTAAAAAATGGTTGTATATAGGGTTAAATTCATATTTTAAACTCTATAGTGATTCCAAAAATTGTAAAATCATTAATAATTATTTACTTCATTAAGCTTGTCTAAATTTTGGATAACTTTTGAATATCATTACGATAATTTATGAAATTAGGATCTAGCATTTCAAGTGATAATTTAACTTAACCTTGTCAAAGTCAAAATCGTCGATTTTTCTAAAGAATGTTTAGCCAGCGAGCATTCGGTTTTGTTATTTTTAACAGAATATTCGTGATTTAAAATCCTCCTATATAGATATCGTTGTGACCAAACATTGTTTGTAAACGAATCAGTTTCAATGATACAATCTGGAGTGTACTTTAGATTGATATCCAGAGAATTCATTAAGTTTTGTTGCTCGGTTTTGACGCTGCAATGAAAACGAGAGTGAAAAGAGTTAAAGACTTTGTAGGTGTAATTTAATTTGTTGGCAGGAATGCACAAAATGTAGTCGTCAACGTATCTTTTATAGAAAGCGGGAACATAATTCAAACCAACAATAACTTCATTTTCTAATTCCTTCATTACCAAATTGGCAATATTAGAAGATGAAGAACCGGTGTAACTTAAAAATATTTTCTTTAATTTCATGCCATCTTTTTTCGATGCATTGAATTTCAAAGTTTGTTGGAATATTTATGAACAAAGAAGTAACATCAAAAGAAAAAAGTATGTGGTTTTTAGGAACGAACACAGGACCTATTGATTTTGTTAGAATACTAGACAGGCTTTTTAAAATATTATAGTTCTGTGAGCCGATGCTACTTACAATTGGTCGTAACGGAATGTTTGCTTTATGAATTTTTGGCAATCTATAAATATACAATGTAAGTCGATTTTTTGTTTGGTTATTAATTACCTCAACTTAATATCATTTGATACCATTTAAGTATTTATTTAACCCTATATACAACAATTATTATTTTTGTTACATGTTGTGACAGTTTTTTATCAACGTCTTTACATGTCGCGATACATATAATATGTATTTATTACTCCCATTTTTATTTCTATGACTGTGACAGCAAAATCCCCGATCATTGTCACGTCAAAAAAATATACCAAAAATTTGTAGAATCTGAAAGGCCGAGAGCCGAAACGTACAGGGTTATCTCGAACCTACGGAGGTTACAAAAAAAATGAAATACAAAAGTTGTTCCTATTAAAATGACCTTTATTTTTGTTTATTTTCCTAATTGCCACTTTTTAATATACAAAGTTACATTCTTTAAAATAGAACACCCAACATTTTATCGCACTTTTGAATAGTCCTTTCAAAGACAAATTCAACGATATCTATGAGTGTGGGTCTGTGATTCACCGTTTCGAATTTAAAATAAGCGGTATTGCCACGTTTCGCAAAATGATATTTTCCCATTTTTTTAAAAATGAAACACCCTGTATATTATTGAATTTTCGAATCGCCACTTTAATAGCAATTTCAATTATATAACAAGTACGGGTTTTGGCTTTGGCAGATAAAATTAAGAACTGGGTATAAGATTTAAATTATTAAGATATGAAACTGGTGTGGTACGCGATTAAATGTAAAGTGCGGTACCAGGGGATATTCGCGATCCCCGTTTTAAAAAGTCGGTTCGTGAAGTGAGGTAGACGGTCGGAAGACGTGTTAAGGGACGGTGTTCCTGGGGATAAGAAATTCCCGCGATTATTATTGTTTCTTTAGAAATTTGTAGTGTTACTTTCAGTAAAAGTTTGGAATTTTCAAATTTTGTGCCTTATTTACCGCCGTAGAACCCACGACACACTCTCGTTCTTTATCAACTTGTTCACAACCGTTTTAGAACATTGTTAAAAAGTCATGTTTTTGTCTTTCAACAGACAAATTTCTATATATTTTTTAAAGACACATTGTTAAGAATATGAATATTTAAAAAAATAAATGATTGTAAAAGAATTTATGTATTATTGGAAAATAATTGCCAATTAAGGTTCCGTTTTAGTTAGTCAGAGATCCGTACTATGTTATATAATGGAAATTGCTATTTAAGCGGCTATTGCAAAATCCAATAATATACAGAAAATATATTTCAGAAAATTGAGATAAGTATCATTTGGCGAAACGTATTTTAAGAAAATATTCTAAATTTCATCATTGTATAACGAAAAGGATTATTTTCGTAAAAATAATAGATGAAAAAAAGTTTAAAAAGTTAATAAGCAACCCACCAACGATGGTTTATACATAACCCGAATTCTGAAGGTGGTCTCTAATAAGTAAGTCTAATAGTAAGACTATCCAAAAATGCAATATAATGTAGGGCGTTCTATGTAAAAAAGTGATGATTATGAAAATAAAATAAAGGTCATTTCACTAGAAACAACTTTTGTATTTAGGTATAGGACCCTCTTAAACGGGCCACCCTGTATTGTCATAATTAAGCGATAAAACCCAGGAAATTTACCTTCATGAATATTACGTTCAGAAAATATCTAAAATGAAAATAAAACTTTAATGTCTATTGACCTATTTTTCTATCTCGCTGTAGTTAGAATAGAGTGTTCTACTTAAAAAGAAAGAAAGAAGGAAGTAAGTTAGAGTAAAATTAATCATGTATTATCGTTAATATATTATCGTCCATTTTTGATATTAGGACGGATATTGTTTGTAAGATATATTGAATCATGGCAAAATTATTTCAATATTATTGTTTATGCCAAATTCCGCTTTATATAATTAGGAATTAAAGTTATGCAGTCCAACCCGAAAGTCTTACATATTTTTGTTGTTTTTCCTGACATAAGATAATGGCTAATTCATAGTTCAGAGTCGGTAGAATTATTCAAAATATATTTAATACGTCCAAGTAAAAATACGATTAACTAATTGCTCACGATGTTCAAAATGTATTGCTTAAAAATATTAATTGCTTGAAGTGCCAGCTAATTTATTATAACATGTTAAATAAAATTTACTTTTAAAAATACTTATCAAATTTGAGAATAGGAAATGGTTATGATCAGCATAAATTGTATTTCTCTGAAGAGCAGCGTCTAGTTTTAAATGATTAAACCAACATAAAATAATAAATAACAGAATAAATTGTCCAGATTTATTTATATTTGCGTTCATTGTGATTATAATACGATTACTGATCCAAATTCGCGCTCGCGTTCAAGGTCGTGAGGAGTAGTATTTTGTTTACTTTCCTTTTCACTTTTTTTACAATTTTAGTTTTCTAAAATAATTTTCTATGTTCTCATTAACGTATGTTTCTTGCCGTTCGCCAAATACATTTTATTTCGAAAAACAAATGTGTTTTCCATTGTCCGCCAAAAATCGAATTAAAATGTAAAATATGAAATGACCAAAAACATAGATAATGGTAATAGGCATCTGAGCGCCATATTCTAACAAAAAGGTAACTTTTCCTATATGAAAATAAATAAATTTGTGCCACACCACATGCTTGATTAAGATCGGAGTTTTAAAACGTTAATTCAGCGTTCCCTTCAAAAGTTACAGTGAGAATGTTTCGTAAAACTAAAAAATACTCACACTGATATTTAAAATAATGTCCCTGTACCTAGGTACAGTGTGTCTCATTTTATAGAGCGATTTTGACAATTTTGCATTTTGAAACAACTTTTGTAGTTCTATACATTTCTGTTTCTCCCACCCGTAATTTAATGAAAAAGTACCCTTGTCTTGCGAAAGCGGTAAAACAGTAGCTTTTTTTAATAAGGTATAGATGCGCGTTAAAGCCATCCGAAATGGGAGACACTGTACATTTAATATTCACCAGTCATCCTTCTACATCGAAATTATAGTTTATTTGAAAGTAGTGTGGCCAACACCAACAAAGATTTTAGCACCCTTCAAGCGTAAAGAAATACTTTCATACTAAAATCACCAGAATAATAAAAATAAAAATTTAACACCCAATATAAATTTTTGTTAATTGAAGCGTATGGGTTATTTTTCTTCACCTCTTCAACACACTTTTCTCAATATTTGGTATCTATATACATGTATGTTTATATACGCTCGGTGAAAAAAAAAAAGGTAAAATTTCACTTTTGCGTTTTGTTTTTTTTTTAATGAAAAATTCCTTTTATTTATTATTTTCACTTTTTGGGTAATTGTGAAGAGGTTACGAGGACAAATTCCTGGAACTGCACTTACTCCTTTAAAACCTGTTTTTCTCGTCCAATGGATATTTAAAAATACTATTCTCCGTTTTTTCTGCTTGAAATGAAGTCTTTCAAATAATACATCATAAGTTTAACGCAAAATTATTATTATTGAACTAAGTTCGATTTTATTTGTTACAAGTTAAATAAGAACATAAAGTTTTCAGAATTTCACAAAAAAAGATAATCTATCTATATAAAATATTAATTATCTACTAACCAAACCATTTTTAACTTTGAAATTGAAGTTTAAAAACAATTTGGCCCATGAGGGGATCGAACCCGCGACCTTCGCGTTATTAGCACGACGCTCTAACCAACTGAGCTAATGGGCCACTAAAAGTTTTTTTATCCTGGTTCATCATGAAGAAATGTGTATGTTTTACCGCTATTAAAATATTTAATAAAAATAAAATTCTTTGCCTAAATTGTCAAATTAACTAAGCGGTGGCGATCCCCGTCAGATAATGCCAGAGCATCTTCTGCCTCCTCAACTGCTGACACTTCCCAGCAACGCCACGAGCATCCGCTCGGAAATCAGCGATTCTTTCAGCTGCGAGGGGCGCGAGTACGGGTACTATGCCGACGTGGAAAATGACTGTCAATTGTTCCATGTCTGCCTACCTATGAAATATTCTGACGGCAGAAGCCAGACATTTAGGTGGAGCTTCATATGTCCTGAAGAAACAATCTTTAATCAGGTAAATTTTATTGGATTTAAAAATTAGGATAATTAATAATAATTATTTTAAACATTGTTCTGGAGTCTCTCTTTCATTTTTAACACGCATATATACATTTACAGGATGAATATCAGGAATCATTAGATCTTCCAGTACCGAGTTATAGTGATTTCACAGTTATATAGTTTTAGAATAATAACTACAAGGGGGGAAAACTTTAAAATATGATTTTTTTTAATCAATTTTTTTTAGCATATCATTAATGAAATTGCTATTGATGTGATCATATGCATTTAGGCAAGAGACGAGTGCGTTTATATGTATGGTTCCTATGGTAGAACAAAATGATTTTAGAGAAGAGCAATGTAACATTGGTGTGCGAGAGACTTGTCAAGCAACTATGAAAAACATGCGCATGCGTGAAATTTTAATTTTCATTTTTAACCAATACATGGCCGGTGAGGGATCCTCAATAAGTCTGGATGCGGCATTTTCAAGGCAGTATATTCTCAAAATATGCCTAGTTCTCGTTCTGGGAAATTGAGTTAAGTGTGCGTGCGCGCGTGTGTGTATGTGTGTTGTGTGCGTGCGTGCGCACGTGTGTGTCTGTGTGTGTTAGTGTGTGTGTGGGCGCGCGCGTCTAGCAAATAGTAAAAATGAGTTATTAAATAAAATAACTTCTTTGAATTATGTGGTCTAAAAACTTCAGCATTAAATATTTTTAGAAACAGAACTCGGTTTAAAAATTTTACTCCATCGGTAAGAAGTGTTAATGTGACCGCTACAAATTGCAGGTTTTGGTTTCTGCAAATTCCACGCACATCACACCTGACGTTAGCTTTTCAGCGGTTCTCGGAAATCTGCAGCAACAAGCAATACTATGCACAAACGTTACACGACGTTATAAAATAAATACCGGCGTGGATTTGTTTATATACCCCTGAAATGAATCCAAACGGCCAAGTTTATTGCAAACTTCACACCGTTGCAGCATTTTCAGTTCCTATAATGTTATTGTCCCAAAATAGTTTTTCACTTTTAAAAACTCGCTACTCTCACAAAAATAAAACAAACTTGCACGTACCCCAACACGTACGTAAGATTCACAAATAAGGTTAAACAAATCTGTGTCTGTTCATCGCGTCGTTGCCACTAACTCATTTCTTACTATTTTGCTATTAGGATGAAAAGATGTGCTTGTAATTTTATGGATTATGGTTGATGAAATAGTAGCACAAATTTTTGTTAACCTACATCGAATAAATTTTATAATTTATCTATACTTTTTAAATGTACAAATCTTATTCTGTATTGCAGCAACTGTTAAATCCGGGGGTGTAATTAAACACGAAACCCAACTTATATAATTTACTATTCAAATGAAGTGGGGTACAAATATCAAAAAACGTAAAAAAACATTTCATGCGTTCTGTGGCTCACTCTAACGGGACCGTACGAATCAATTTCAATGAGGCGTTCTGGTCCACGGCTAATTTGTTTACGGGCGGATAGATGGTGGCGAGGTTGTTCATTCGTTATTGTGTGTATTAATCCTTTGAAAGCGTGGCTATGCTTAGCATTGGGAAAATTGTCTCGGCCAGTCAATATACAGTCAGCACACCATTGTCATATCTCTTCCATGGGGCGTTTGGATACTTCCTAGGGCTCAATTAATTGAGCTCCTAGTATTCCCAATCGGCTGCCCTTCAGTTGATATTTATTTTCATGTAAAATATTCATCTCGTCCATCTCCTGATTTTTATAGGAAATGTTCACCTGTACAAGGTCGGATGAGTCCATGGACTGTTCCCAATCACCTCAGTTTTACGAACTGAATCGCAACTTCGGCAGCGAGGAGGAGACGAGCGGGATAAACCACCACCGGCATCCGGCTATCCTCGAACCGGCAGAAATGCCCGGACTCGAAAAGGATGAAGACGCGCCTTCTGTGCCGGCTGAAGTTCCACAGTCGCTAGCTAGGAATTTTGTGAAAAAGAGTGGCAAAGTTACCGACAATTAGAGACCCTATGGAATAACGTGATGAAAGAGTGTGATACGGAAATAAGCAATACGCTATATTAGTGATGACATAGCACGGGCCATTTTGCTTGGCAAGTGTCAACATTTGGGATCCAAACGAACTCAGTTTTTGCGTTTCTTTATTATTAGAGATGATTTAAGTGAGTTCGTAATAATTAATCAATAACTACTTTGTAAGTAAGTTTTAGAATTAGAAATAAAATAACGAGCGATATTATTTCATTAAAAATGAAAATATATCCTGCAAACTTGTCCATTATTGACACATGTTTTTTTGCATTTTCAAATAATATAATTTCAAATAATAAGTTTAGGCTAGATTTTGATTTTCAATTAAATCCTCTAAGTCGTTGTTTCATTTCAAATTCTAATTACTTATAAAGCAATAATTGAATAGTACACTTATCATAAATGATTACAATTTTATTTATTTATTTAAGAACAATTACAAATTGACACAAAAACAATATTAAGTGACTATAGTAAAACAATGAAAACATACCAACAAACCAAAATGCGGAAACATCTGTTTGTGCACCCAAACCAAAACACAACAAAATTATTAAATAATTAAATATACATAGAGTGTAATAGACGCATAAAAACAAGAAAAAAAAAAGGCTTCCGACAACGAATATAACCTAAAATGGTAAAAAAACAAATAATTTTGTCCTTGGGGTCTCCTGTATATAACAGTTAAATAATTTTAACCGTGGTCAATTAATAAACTGTATACAACAATAGTGTCCCGATGTTGTAAAGTTTAATTGTTAAATGTTAACTAATTTTCTACCCATTAACTATCTGATTATATAGAATTTGTGTAGCACCGAACTTTATTACAAAGGTGGGTTGATTCCACCTCCAATGTTTGTCTACCATTATTACAAGATAACTTGGGGCATTGATTTTCTAAATAAATAAGATAAAATGTGATTTTTTTAAAATTAGAGTGTATTTAGAAGCGTCTAGAAAATGTTTTTCGAAGTCTTGAATTTATACTTAATTTTATAAATAAAAATAAAGTTATTTTAGTAAGTTCACGGATAGTTCTTTTAAGGTTAAGGAGGCATTCAGTGACATGTTACATAACCTTGCAATTTGTTATTTCATCAAACCTCCCACCCATGTCTCTGTCGCGCATGGTGAACTACGCAATTTTAATGAAAAGTTGTGCAACTCTCTTATTGGTAAGTTTCGGAATCCCACAATAATCGTTACATTGCCACGCATTATTCCAAAAAACTCAACAAAAACGTACGGAAAATAGCGAACTTTTTTATCTCCGTCCCAATCTCAACATACAGGTGGGACCGTAGAAAAACCGACAGGAAATGGTGGACACAGGTGAGCGGTTTGCGCCAGAAGCACGCGCCTGTTGCAAACCGATCTAGACGAATGTGTATTTACGTACTTTTATATGTTAGAAAACAGGGTAAAGTCTACATTTTAATAATCATGGATCGTTTTGGCGAGATTTAGATGTAGTGGAACGCAACTATTAGAAGATCTAAGAAAGGATGATTACGCCTTCCGAGTTGGTGATTAGAATACAAGGGGAATTTCGACAAAAAAAACTTATTCTTTACTATTTAAAAATCTTCTGGATCCCTCCTGCGTCGGTTGTTGTTGAATCGAACGCGATGACGCTTCACCAATGATCCTGTTCACTTCTTCAGTTTCAGAAGAACCTGACAGGATTCTTGACTAAACGTCAGCGAGTTAGATTCATGAATAACTGACTCAGAAGGAGTCCAGAAGATTTGTAAGTAGTGCTGCCTTATTACTTACTTTATTTTGTCAGTTGAAGATTTTATTACTTTTTTTTCTTTTCATTTCACCATTGTGATCTTTAATTTCAATTCATTTTTCTTTTCAATCTTTACCTTAAATAAAGTGAAATAATGTCAAACGGTCATAAAAATTCCTGCAACGTGTTACGCAGCATTTAATAAATAATGAACAAATGATACGCGGGTAAAAGCTAGTATTTTTCTATGGTTTCTATACAGCTCAATCTTCTCTTTGCCCCACTCCACAAATAGCATAAATAAAATACCTAAATACGAAAACGCAAATAGGTAATTTTTAACAGTATGTTTAGAAGAGAGAATGTTTAGAACTTAAAAATCAGAGGGTAATTGGCTATACAGGCGGTAAATGTATGTTAACGAACGTTCGAACGATTTAGTCTGATTAGGGGTGTGCACGTGAGTCCCAAATTTAATTTAATTAAAAAAAAATTGAGTCAATAAAATGTTATGGAAACAAACGAATAAGTGTAATTTCCTTCTATTTGCCGTAGTCAGCTATTTGTCCCACTTCAGTTTGTAGGACTCTCTTTCATATTTACGAATGCTGTAAATGAACCTCAAGCACGAACCCCAGTTGTACCCTCCATTAATACCAAGCACGGACCCACCACATCACCATAGTTAAAATGATTTAAAAATTTGTATACCTAAATTTCTAGGTGATTTAATGCAGGACACATTAATATTTAGAATTTAAATAAACAGCAAAACAGACGTCTTAGAACATTCAGTTCCAAGTAAGTAGTGTTTTTTTTGAGAATGCGAAAACATCATTTATAATTGCTTGAGCGTAATTCGTAGGACACAAGACAACAAATGGAAATATGGCAGTTATTTCGCTTAATGTTCTTTGATAACATTGCGCAACATGTGCAACTATTGCCTGCAAATAATCAACTGACTTAGCGATAAGTCGGTGCGCTTCGTTTATTCTTGGAACGAAATGCCATTCATATCCGAGATTATGCATTCCGCTCGGGATTTAATAATGTAACCGTATCGCTAACTCTGGGTATATAGCGTAAATTTAATTTTGCCTACACTTTTCTATACCTACGTTTGATTGAAACTGATAATTTGCGTCTCGAATCTTATTTGCGCTTCGAGCTATCGAAATAGTTTATTCTCGAACAAGTTTTATAAACGCCAATTTGGTCACTAGCGTGATTTAGCACTATCGCACAGTAGTTCTATATGCTGCACGGTGACACTGTAATTATAGACCACAATTAAAAAAAACTGTAAAATTACTTAATTAATTATTTGCAAAACCCTCTTCCAGATAATCTAGCGCCCCTGAATAAAGAAGATAACAAAAGACGTCCCTGTCTGACTCCTTTCAGGATTTTTGCTTTTTCTGTGTGTTCTCCAACAATCCTCAAAATGGCCCCGTTAGAATGAAATTTAGTAATTTGGTAATATGCTTGTGTAGAATCAATTTGGTTTTAATATTGTTTTTTTTTCTATATTTTCATTCATTTCCTCTAATGAAATAGCCGTAGGGCTCTCTCCACTTCGTCTTTTTCTTTACGGATCATACTCAATTTACTCCTAATTTTGATCGCCGCCTCGTTCCTGTACGTAGTAATCTAGAATGCGAAATCTAATCGCTAGGGCTATCCCAGATACCGTTCTATATGCTGAATCCACCTGTAGTAGCATGTTTTTCTGGAATTACAATTAATTGCCAGTGTCCATTACCGATGTCCATATCGCAGCAGCATGATATTGTGCCTGAATCGCATTCGCCTGTATGTTCTTACCGAATTTGAACTTTTCTTCAATCGTTACGGCAAGGTACCTAACTGTTTTGGGGAGTATGATATTTACGTTCTCCAGTCTACAAGAGACGTTAACTCGTTTCCATCTTCCTTTTGCCATTAAAGTTTCAGTTTTTTCCGGTGGCTAATGATAACATTGTTAACATAACTTATAACTCATTTACGCCATTAGCAAGAGCAAATCATCTGTAGTATGAGTACAAGCTATCGTCGGGAAATTGTTATATTATGATTGTTCATAACTCCCAGAAGCCAGTCTAAATAAAAATTCACTACTATTTAAATAGCTTCCGGAAGGATACCGTCGATGTCTGTTACATTACCAGTCTTTATGTTTTTAATAGCCTTGTTGAGTTCAGTTTCTGTGAATAAATTGTCAACTGACATGAGTGATTTTATCCCCCACTACTTCGTCTACAAATGGTAACAGAACCTTTGCAATTTTTACTGTCTCTTCCGTGGTCTTTTAAATCTTTAATCAACTTGCCTAGTTCCCTTTTGCAGTTCTTATAGTGCTCTCTGTCTTCATTAGCTGCATTCAGATAGATACTTTTCGAGGTTCTTGTTATATTTCCCGTCACCAAATTACACCCGCGCCTTTTTTTGTGCAACATAATCATTCCACCAGTACGGATTTCTGAAGTGTGCACTTTGTTTTTTTTTTTGCAATTTCGGTAAGCATCTCTTATTGGTTTCGGGCATTCTTTATAATTCAAATCGTTGTGTTCTCCTCTTGTTATCTCAGTCGAATTTCTGAAGTTTATAATGCCATTTGCAGACATTTCCTTGCTGTTTTGGTGGTACTTTTTTCAAAATAGATGTACTGATATTCCGTTAGATTTTTCGTGTCTAGAACTTCCCAATTGGCATTTTGCGGATGAAAAATCTATATATCTGCTACCATCATTTTCGACAACCATATCCTTTGTAGAGATTCACTCTGCCCAATATTCCCCTTTGTTATCAATTTTCAGTCATCCGCTCAGGGCCGATTTTGCATTTATATCGTCTAGTACCATAGCATATAGCACTATGTTGGTTTTAGTATTCGTTTCTTTCTATTAGTTAATTTAACAATACAATAAGTTTCATTTAAATTATAATATATAAACAAAATACTGAAAACAACAATAAATAACACAACAAACAACAACAAATATTAATTAAAACTTAAATACCAACAACATTTTATACCATTTACCATTTATCTAACAAATCTAACTACTTTAGGTAAACTATTACAATTTATTGACAGCAATATCTTTAATTCTCTTATTAAAGGAGGTGGACTAAGTAAGAGTCTATATAAAAGATCCATGTTACACTTTGTACTAGGCATTTTTCGAGTATGATTTAGTCGAAATATTTTATACTCTTAATTTTTTATGTCCGCAGCTTCTGATAGTTTTCCTATGCCGCTTTCTATTACATCAGCACCTTGTGAACTGAAGAAGAAAAACTATCCAAGCGTTTTTTAGCTACCAGTAAGCGAACCGTACTTATAGAAAAAAGTAAAAAATGGAATCTCGGAGAGCGCTTCTTTATTGTTATCGCTGACAAACTTCGCCATAAAGGTTAAAGCTGATGTTTGGTTTAATAAAAATCAGTTTCACATTGTCCAGTGCAATTTTATAATGCGATGTTGCAAAGCCTATAAATGTAAATGATAATTAATTTTTTTTACATTGCCATATACAATATTTTTGAGTGTGGTCGTTATCCACACGTCAGAAAGAATGGATTTTATAGTTTTTTAAGTTGGGGAATTCAAAACTAGTCGTCGTTTTTTGGGGATTGTCACTAACAAAAATTTTACCTCTTTAAGCGCAGTGGCGTTCCCGAAGGTTTCCTTGCTAATGTGGTTACAAAGAAAAATGAAAGAAGACTTTTTAAATGTTGATATTTTTTTGACTGGCCGAGTTACTCACAATGAGCGTTAGGTATCCCACGCTAAGAACGGTGTATAAACCGAGCAGTGCGCGTAAATCACGCACGACACTGCGTTTGCCAAAATAACATCGATTAAACTGGCGGCGACGGCGACGATGACGACGATGACGAGGAAGGTTGGCGTTCGCAGCCAAGCTGTGGGTATAACAGCTGATTCCGTTCCGTTCAGCAGTCTCCGGTCTCGTTTCGAGTGAGTATCGTGCCTTGTCAGACCACGTTGTGCTATTGTTTGGAATCACGAGAGAATGGACAACACTGCCAAGTACCCGGACAGGCCGAATCCCTTACGAGGTGCCAACCCAATCTCGGAATTGATGTTTTTGTAAGTGACGTTTTGCTGTTGGTTTGTTTAACGTTTAATTAATTGCGAAATAGAAACACAAGGTCAAATGCTGGAGACCAGCTGGACGTGCGGGCGCCCAAAACCAGATCAATTGTTTATCTTTAACAGAAACAAGTTAAAAGAAAATTTGATAAAACATTTAACTACGCAGATGTTCTTCCAGTTGCAAACCAGCAAAAGTAGGTAGCAAAAAAGAAAAGATATGATTTCCTTAAAAATAGTGGTACCAACGTTAGTCTAACTTTCAAATTTTTGCTACTTATAGTTTCCCCGTAACAGATCCATGAAGTTCCCGGTGGCATACCCTGTATAGTTTATTTTAAAGATTATAGAGTAGCGTAGTAATATCTCATTAGTTATTCCAAGGATTTACAGAGTGACCTAATACATACTTAAATCACTTTCATTGTTTATCATTGAGTTTCTTTTTACCGAGTGCAGGGAGTACCACCCGCTTGGGTCAATTTTATTTATCTAAAAACGTCGGTAGAATACTCGTAAAAAATCATAATATTCCTCATCATCTCAGAAACTGCCATTCAGTAGTCGCTTCCCTTCTTTAATGGGATGCGCATGTGGAACTGCTTTTCGTCAGTTCTTTAGTATTAGCCCCCCCTCCCCCGCGCAGGCTAGAGCAAAAACAATAACTTTTTCATTTTGAATCCGGTGTTATGTCTAAATACAAATCCTGTCAGTTGCTCCCATGAAAGGTGTGGAAAAAACAGTATATTTCTTTGCTAAATCGGCATGTTACGTAAAACAAGGTTTGTGTATGTAATAAACAGTTGGTCTATGTTAAATTATATTTAAAATCAAGATTTTTGGTGGTTAACCCGTCGACAATTTCTTGGTTCCACCAAGTTGAAGTTTTGCCTATTCATCGTGAATGATAGCTTATATCATACATAATTATTACTGAGTCAGGCGGAAGATATTTTATCGGTTCAACAAAACAGTCTTCAAAAAATCCGAATTCATGTTCATATAGCAATCTGTTTCCTTTTTCTGAGGACCCATTAATACCCGTTGACAGGCCTTTCATGAAAGCTTGACTAGCACTGGTTATATTTTTTGTCTTGTCTTCATTAATCCGTTTCATCAAGATAAAATATTTTCTTCTGCTCCCTTCAGTGCTGCTTTATACTTTTCACGTTGTCAGAACTAACTACAAAACCTACATATTAAAGTTTACTTACGTCTATGACCGACACCAGAATTAAGCAGAACTGGACGAAATTTCCAATTGACGGAGAATATGTTTTTTACGTAGACAGGATTTTTTTCGTTCTAGAACGAACGTAATTTCACACTAAACAAATCTTTTGACCTTCATTTCTATTATTTCATTTTGGATATTTAACGAAAATTACGGAAAGTGCTAGATAAATGAAAACAAATTGTGGGAAATGTAAAGAATAAAACAAAAGTAATTTTTGTCTCTGTTGTCGGTAGATACAAAATATCACATCGTGAAATATATTTTCATACTTTCTTCACTAAAATATTAATAGATCTAGATTACTAGTCGGATGTTTTAGGGGATATTCCCAAGGCTTGAATTTTGACTTTTGTCAGTTTTAACGGTCATGACAGTGAATGTTTTGCAAAAATGTACCCAAAAACTAATGGTCATAGGAAAAGTATAGCATGTAATGTAATACTCGCTGGTGCCAAATAACCTCCTGACTCAAATGCCGTTTAACACACTTGTTGCATAATTTGCTATTATGCTTGAGGAAATGTTAAGGTTACGGCTATTACATGCGAAACTACCTATTGGAAATTCCGCGAAGATACGTTACCATAGCTCACACGGAATTAACTTTTAGGCGCGGCATCAATCTCGGCCGGCACAGCGTTGCCGTCACGGACAGGGTTTTAATTTATATTTTGACACTCACCTTCAGGGGATAGACAAAAACTTTTTTTACAAAAGTTGTATGTTGTATTATCTTCTGAAGCTGCCAATAAAAACAATTGAGCGCCGCTAATGTATAAAAAAATTAACAATTTCATTTTTTTTAAATGGAACACTCTGTATATTTATACTTAACTGGATTTCAAAAATATATAATTTGTCGGTATTTGGTTTAGCCATAGCGAGATTATTGTTCAAAAGTAGAATTTAATAATCTAAATCAACATTGCCTTGGAAAAAAAAGCGTTAGATATATTTTTAGTAGAACAGTAATTCAAAATAATAATTAATTTGCAAAATTTTCAACGTTTTCTTCAGGGTTTGCTTTGCAGGTGAAATTTTTTTTTCTTAACTTCGTATGATTGCCCTCAAAACATAATCTGAATGGTTTCTTTAAGTAAAAATATTTCATGTTCAATTCTATTAAAGTACCCCCAATTCCATATAAACCTTTCTCCAAAGCTTTTCTTTTGCCTTTTTTTGTTCTAGACCCAAAGCTTGAATTAAACTGACTTTATCTGGGATTTTCGAATATCAACCTTTTCTTGAGTTACATCCATAACATAGCAATTCATGTTGTCCATATTACTCTTTTGGACCAGTAATTAAAAATAATCCTTAGCGGCACCGAATTGTGAAGGCAACCGACGAATTTTTTTATCCAATATCTGTAAAATATGATAACAAACCATGCAACCCACAAAGGAAACTCATGAAATAAACATACCAGGCTTGTTTCGTCACTTAAGTTTGGCCAACATCCCGGTCAGAAAATTATACCATAGACCACGAAATAAAAAGGTACAAATATTTTTATGAAAACTAGAGAGTAAAAAAATTAGTAACCGACCGAACGCCTGGGCAACGATAACTTATTTGTAGTAAATAGTTGGTTGACCTATGAGGTCCGTCAAACATCTCCGTGGAACACGTCATTTTACGTATCATTAACGTGTCAATCCACGTCAACACATAACTTACAGAAAAGAAACCCAAATGGTTACCAAATGAAACGTCGGGATAGTAAAGATGTGGTCGTAAATCAGAAAAATGCTACTTGGGTTGAGATACTTATGAAATAACCCGATTAATAGCAACTATTTCCATTAGATGCAGCACATGCCGCACATGCTTTCAAAATAAAAATAAACTCTTATAGAGATATAACCCCACAGCGTTTTTATTTTTGGCGGAAAAATAATTTCTACGCCACGGTTTTATCTCAGTTTTTATTTCCAGTTACATGTTTCCCATCTTCAAGAAATCATACAAGAAGCAATTGACGGAAGATGACCTTTTTTCACCTCTGCGATCTCACAATTCTTGCATACTGGGCCAAAAACTCGAGACCATATGGAAGGAGGAGCACCGGAAGCGAAAAAAATCCGCGTTGCACTTCGCCCTACTTAAAATGTTCGGCTTACATTTTTTTATATTAGGACTCATTCAATTAGTTAATGAAGTATTGTACGTGTAAGTACATACACAAAAATCTAGTTAAGTATGTCAAAATATTTCGAACCAAGTTGATATTTTAAATCGGCAATATATATATGAATTTAAATGTCAACTTTAGCGCACAGCAAAGTAATTATTATCAGCGACTGTTTATTCGCATTTATCCGACAGATAATTAAAGTCAATCCCATTTTTTGATTATGGAAACCTCGACGCGATGACTGTAAATTGAGATGTCAACTATACATGGGAAATAGTAATTACTCAAGAACACATTGTTCAGTAAACATTGCAAAATTGCGAATTGGTTTATCGTATTTCTTCTCTCTCCAAATTAATACTGTTTACAAATCTACTGGATTCCTGCTGCGTCGGTTGTTGGTGAATCGAACTATCTGAAAATAGTTTGCGTTATTTACTAGTGCTTACAGATCTGATACTGATACTATTTGCAAAGATCAATAAAAAAAAACAAAATGGATTGAAAAAAACGGTCGTATTCGCAAATCCATCTATCCGAATAATGTACAACAAAAAATATTGAATATATCGAGACTGGATGGTATATTTGTAACTTTAAAATGAAAAATTATTACGATTGGAAACAAAAGTCAATCATTAAGGGGATATCGCGCTACAACTATGGCGAAAAAAATATAAACTGAGGTGGCTTTTACTTGAAAATCTATTTATCAAAATAAATAAGAACTAAAAGTTCAGATTTTCACGAAATTATATATTATATCATGACAAATGGTTTCGACAACACCGTGTCTTTATCATTTATTTATTTTGAAAAAAATATGATTTTATTTTTTATCTTAAAAATGAAAATAGAACAATAAAATATTACGGAAGTATTTCTATTACAAAAGCACACTTTTTTTAGTGGACTGGAGGGGATTGAATTTGACTACCCCTATTATTCTTCTTAACTAAATTTAAGGAAAAACTTATGCAATGACAAAAAAAAGATTTTATTTTATGTTTTATTTAATTTTATTTTAAACAAGAAATCACTCCGTTAAATTACTTACATTTGTTTGGAAACAATTAATTCTCAAAATTTTACATTTTCAGTATTTGCAATATGTTACTCCATACTTAAATGGATAGGCTTATAGAACATTTTTGATGCAAAATTCCTTCTAAAATCTTAAACGATCAACGATCATTTTGGTGAATTTTAAAGTCGATTGAGTATAATGTAAATTGTTTTTTTATATTTAAAAGGTATTAATTAGAATATATAAACTATTTTCACTAATCATGTCACAATAATTACAATTTGTTAGAAAATTACTCTTATTTTAAAAACCCTACCACTTAGGTATAGGAATATAATATGTGAGATGCATAGCGGTTTTATTGTCAAAATATTCCATCATAACCAGTAAAACGGTTAAATGATGATTTTTTGTAACTACCTCATTATTGCACACACTCTCTTTATCCAGGACATTTTTAATATTCGTCGATAAGCCCAACTTTCCTTTAACGCATGGCGATAAAAAGTTAAATTGTGGTCTATTTCTGTCAAACAATATGAAAACTGATAGTGATATATATATATATATATATATATATATATATATATATATATATATATATATATAGGTTTAGATAATTTGTATATAGTTGTACACGATACAGTTATTAGCATCATGATAAGTTACCAAAGTTGCCGTTACAAAAGGCATGATAAAAACAGTAAAGTAAGCACGCAGAGACGAAACCTAAAAAAATTAAATCAATTCGTTAATCGTAATAAAAGTATAAAATAAAGATAATGAAAGCCTCAACAACAACAATAATAATAATGACCTCGCAAAAGTGATCAAAATGTAATGTAAAATTTCTTAGCCGCTAATTCTCAACTTTAAGAGAGACGGACTCGGTTTAGAGTAATGATTTAACTTTTTCAATGTTTTTTTCAGTACTGTGATACCTCTTGCCATAGGAAAGTTAGTGCGTTATTTCGAAGTCAACCAAACTGTGATCTCGGAAAACGAGGCTTATTATTACTGCGGAATCATCGTGGTATGTCTGATAATTGACGCATATTTGGTCCATCCAAGGCTCATGAGCCAGCAGCATCTCTCAATGAAGATGAGGGTCGCTTGCAGTTCACTCATTTACAGGTAAAGTTTCGCACTTGAAATAACGAAAGTTGAATTCAATGCTTTATCAATGCATTTGATACCTTGACAACGGCTGGTGTTATATATTTATTTCCAGGATGTTCAAAAAAAATATGGGCCCGAAACTGCTTTTTCAAGATACATGACTATAATTGAAAAAAAAAAGTATTAATATCTAAATAAATAGTCACCCTATTCTGCTGAAATTTTGCAATGTTATTTGGTGTATTGGGAGCCTAATTTAGCCCTAGCACAGGTTATTAATATTAAGTTCAGTCCATAATCGAAAGTACACTACACCAAAAGTTGAAAATATCTTCCATTCTTCAAAGAAACTTCCACAGGCTACTGTAATACTTTTTATAAAAGTTCTGGATTCCTCTTGCGTCAATTTTTGCTGAATTCAACTTGCTGATGTTTCGTCATCATCCTGCTAGCTTCTTAAGAGCTTGACTGAAACTGATTCCCATATTGGTGACAGGTAGAGACCTGAGTCGTGGTTTAGATTGTTAGGGTGTTTTCAGATTTCTATAGACTCGGATTTTCCGTTGGTAGAAAAATTGATTACATGCAAGAATGTTAGTTTTATCGAATAAAATTTTATGTCCGGTTTTGTTTGTTTTTCGCGATGACTGTTGACCGTTGTAAGAAAAATATGTTCCAGACAAGCATTTTTCAATTAAGGAGAGAAAGTTTCGTTCCAGATTCTCTGACTTTAATATATCTGAAATGATGTTGAGAGTTTCAGGAATAGGAACTCTGGTAAAGAGGGATTCTACATCGAAACTAACTAGAATATCTGGTTTATCTAATGTAATGATTTTTAATTGTTCAATGAAGTAAAAGGAATCACCAGTCATCGCGAATATATTTATGGAAGCCTTTGAGAAGCAAACTCTCGACACATTTCACCTAAAACCAAACTTATGGAAACGCTACGTCGATGATACTTTTGTTATTTTTCTTAATGGTCAAGAAACCCTAGCAGATTTTCTTAGACATTTAAACTGTATACACCCTAATATACGTTTTACCATTGAGTTGGAAACTAATAATAACCTTTCATTCCTAGATATTCTTATCAATAGAAAATAAAACCTAAAATTTGGTCATTATGTTTACATAAAACATACGCACACAGACCGATACCTTAATGCATGGTCACATCACTATCCCTCCCAAAAATCATCGGTTATCAACTGTCTTGGTTACAGAGCCGCAAAACTATCTCATCCCGAGTCACTGAACCCAGAATTAAAAAACACCTTACCTCTGCTCTTGTTTCTAATAATTTCCACATTAAAGATATTAAGCGTTCCATCAAAAAATATACTTCAGCACATCCTTCTAAAAGTAATGAGGCCGAAAGCAATCCTATACTTGCCACTGTGGTGCTTCCTTATATTCAAAACATCACTAACAAATTTTATTAAGAAGAACTGTGTTCAACGACTCCAAGTTTGACAAAATGCGTCGTTCTGGAGTTATGACATGAATTTTCGGAATCGTTAGGACACCCCTCTTTCCCCTAAGAGGTCGAATTTATATCAGTTTTACAACAGCGTCCATTCCAATATGTACTATAAGGTTATTTCTGAAAAAATGGAATTTAAAATTCAAGAATATCATTACGCTCCCTGGCTCCGATTCTAAAAATTTAAAAATAATTTGCAGTATGTTCTCTTGACCCCTTTAGTTATAAATTTTTCTCCCCCAAGTCTTTACAATAATTACTTTTCGAGATAGAGCCGGTAGATACAATTTGAGGCATAGCAATGAGTGCCGTTGTTATATCGGATTTTCAAAGCCGATTTTAAGTGGTAAATCTATATTCTCATGTTTTCGTTTGATATTACTAATAATTAATCAGATAACAACAAACTGGTTAACGTAAACTAACGATTTCATTAATAACGAATGCAATTGAATTTAACAAAAAGAAATTAGGAAATCGGTCAAAAGAAAATGCTAGATATTGTGTGTGAATTGAATTGAAATGAAATGACCACCAGGTTGCTTAATTGTTACATTTTACTGCGTTAATACTTAAATTAATAATAAAATTAGCTACTCTCCAATATGATGAGTGATGAGTGAAATGAGATCAAAACCTTGGCTACTGAGTAATTTGGTTCCCTTTTGGTTGTATAAAAGCAATAAAGAAAATGAAATTAGAATAATGATTTGTCAAGTCCAGTGAACACATAGTTGGCCATTTAATAATATAAATAAGTTATATCATTGTATCTTTTTTTTTATTTTTTTTATGATTATGTTAGAAAACACCATTTAGTGGCAAAGTAAGCGATAGCAGTAGTAAAATTCCTTTTTAACGACTTTAATTTTCTTAAAATGCATCATGCTTTTTTCTTGTTATCGACGATTTCAAAAAAGTTCGTACGTGCCTGACTACTTTCCTTTCCGAGAGCAAAGAGCATTAAACAAAAATATTCGAATTTGTTTTTAAAGTACTACTCACACTTAGCTATATTTAATTTTAGACAATTTTGCAGAAAACGTGTTTAAAAATCAGTTATGCTCTCCGGTCGTGAGTTCAGAAATGCGAGAATTCAAATATCTCTAAAGTATCGTTTGAGTTAATGAATTGTTGTTTACTTCAATACCATATTAGCTCTGTGTTATATAGAATCGCTATTATGATTCTTTTTAGTTCTTTGACATATTTTATACATTGTATTGTCTGACGGAAATAAGAGTAATTCTAATTATCATAGAGCTGTGTAACTTTTTTTTTAACGCCACCTGATTTCAAGAGACCACTCTCCGATACACTATTGACACCCTGTATATGTTTAATTTAATAAATTTTCAGAAAAGCATTAAGACTAAGCAAAACAGCTCTGGGTAAAACTACTGTAGGCCAGATGGTTAACTTGCTGTCAAACGATCTGAGCCGGTTCGATCAGAGTTTCGTCCTGGCCCACTTCGCTTGGGTCGGGCCTATTCAGGTGGCCGTGGGCACATGGTTATTATATCGGGAAATCGGAATGGCTGCTCTATTTGGAGTAATTTTTCTATTGTCGTTTGTACCGCTTCAAGGTGAGTGTCAGATTACAATATCTTTTGATAAACAGAGAGAACAATGGATAGTCGATAAAATGTAAATAGAATCATTAAATTAAATAGGATTAGGAGTAAATAATAGTTTTTACAAAATTTTTGGTATACTTAGTGCATATACACATTGTCGGAAAAATATTCACCGTATTGGGCATAAAATTACCCACTTTACTCTTTGAAAATGTTACAGAGAAAGTTGAATACAATTTTTTTATAGTTTGTTGTAATATTTTAAAATATAGTAGTTTCATGTACTGCCCCGAATACTAGGGCGACGAAGTACGAAAAAGGACTATCCTAAAAGTGTGAAAAAAAAATTAGCGAAAATTTCAAATGCTAACTACAGTACTCTTTTAAAGCCGAGACAAATTTCAATCTCCTTTGCTTGATGATGTTTTTTTAATAAACATGGAGTCGTTAAAAAGGGTTTTTCTTAGGCTATGAGTGACATGACTGTGGTTACTTCCTTTGTCACCAGGGGGATTTTTCTGACAAAATTGCAAAAAAAAAATATTTTGCTGAAAAACTAATAAAAGCAACGATATGAGTTTCTATGTGATAAGATAGGGGCTCAACAACTAAAATATGAATAAAAGAACTATACGCTCAAAAAGAAAATTTTGGAATAATTTCCACTTTGCAGTTTGGTATTAATGTGTAATTATCTGTAATTTACGCCAATTTAATATTTATAGTGCCAAATGATAGTATCTTAAAATAAAATGTTATTAATTATCTTTCTTACATTTTTTACAATTTCTTCAATATTCTCTTCAATATTTAGTTTTCTCATTTATTTTTCCATTAAAAATTACGTTTAATTACTAACGTATTCCATCATCTACCGTTTCATCGTATGTTTTATCGTAATCCAGTACAGTAATAATTTAGTAATTAATAAAATTGATTTGTCTTGAAACACTGATTAATTTTGGTTAGTTGCCTAAGTTTGGCTAAGCATGTCAAGATGTAGAATTGTCAGCTTCTAGGTAATTTGGTGCCCTGCGAATTAATGAGGATGAAGAACATTTTATTTTGACTTTAAATATCATTTGGCATACTAAATCATAGATTCACGTTTAATTAAATTAAATTCGGGATCATTAGACTCCAATAATAACCCGCAATGAGGAAATTTAAGTTAAGTTTAGTTAAAATTCTAACATTAGACATTAATTAACATCACAGTTAACATTAACATTTTTTTGTAGAACCCGAGAACTAAAATTCAAGATAACAATTACCTGGTGGCTACTTCAGAAACTCGAAAATTATTTCCAGGATTTATTTTTTTTTATTTTTTAATTTCTAGAAGGGTCCGTTTCTCTAATATTGTAACTCTTGCCCTTATCATGAATTCTTACTTATATAAACTGTAGTCAAATTTTGCATAATTTTTAAAATATTTGATGTGAGCGTTTGGCAAAACATAAGGCATTTTTTTTGAGCGATATAAATTATTGAAAAACTTGAATTAGCCGTTTGGTTGCTAAAAGTATCAATGCAATTACGCATTATTAAGTTCTTGGTTACATCTATACATGGTGGTTGTCGGTAGCTCGGTAAAGCGACGAAAATCAACCCGCAACAACACAAAAATTCAACAAGAGAGGAAACAACATATACAGGGCTGTCCTTTCTACGGTAAATTAAATATTTACACAGCAATGTGGTTTACAACCTAAGTGACAAGCATATATTTTTGTAGATCAGTGGCACTAGACGAAAATCCTTCTTTGTGCTTTTAAATAGGGTAGATAAGATAAAAAGTTTTTAATGTTGTAAAGATTCACAGAAAAATATTTTGAAATTAAAAATTTGTCCCTACTTTGATTTCTTAGTTTTGCAATATAGTACATTAATCTTCGCAAAGTTATTGTGTTTGATACACACATTCCCATCTATGAAGCCATGTAGTGCTTAACAAATTATATTACCCTTATTTAAGAGTACATTTTCGATTTTGTTCTTTTTTTACATTTTTGATTGAAATGGTTTACATTGTTGTTGCTACTCATTGGTTCAGAGTTTGTGTAGTTTTCTTTTCAAGCACAAAAAAGAACCAATACAAATATACTAAAAATATACAAAAAGTAGATACCTACTTAAATTTTAAGAATTAAAATTGTAAACTGTGTCCAATTTAAGCAGATAAAAGGCCCGTTAAATTAGAAAGGGTTTAAAAAATTATGAGAAACCTAAATTTTCCCTCAAAACGATTCCAGAAAATATAAAAGTTGGATTTTAAACTTTTGTCATTTGTCTCCAAGATTCGTCAACCAATAATGTAGAGATTAGTACATTATTAGAACACTTTTTTAAGATCAAAATGATGATATAAAGAAAAGCAATTTTTTCTCATTCTATTATTAGATAGATCATAAAGAATGCTTACTTACCGCTAACGGATGTCATCAATATTTGGTTTCAACCAGATGGGTCCCTCGTTTATAATTGTACTGCCAAATGGACTACTTGCACTACTGTTGAGTTCAAAATCATGTAACTTGCTTTTTAATTTTTTTTATCTTAAACATGCCGGACATTTCAGTCAATGTGACAACAGGCCGTTGCACACCAAACCGGCAAAGTCTACGTTTCTGCTTAGGGATATTCCGATACCATTAAAGTATCGATACCTACTCATTTCGATAGTACTCAAATCTGTTTTCGATACTACTAAAATAAATACTCCTAAAGTATCGATACTTACTCATATCGAAACTAACAATGAACTTTGAAGGACAATAATTATAGCAGCAGAAATTCTGCTAGACCAGTAACAATTTTGTAGCGTTACGGGGTAGACGTTCACGGCATGGGTCGCGACATCGCCGCAAAGTGAGATACAGTCCATTTATAAAAACGAAAATTCAATAAATATTAAGTGATTGAGGAAACGCTTGTATTATTGAACAAACAACTACTTTTATCTTTTAGGGCCATGCTATATGTACTAACGTTATTTTCCAACAGACGATAGATTACATCAACTAGTTTTAAAGGCGTTTCAAGTCATTATACGACGATGCTTAGAAAAAGGCAATTTATTTGAATTTTTTTTGTAGTTGAGATTGTAAATTTTATTATCAACAATATGTATTAATTATTGAATTATATTACATCATTTTAAATTATTATTTGTTTATCTATTTAATTGTAATTAATAAGTAATTAGTTAAAAAAATATTACGTTATTGGCTATTTAGTACTAGTTCAGAAATATCAAAAATTTTTGTTTTTCTGAATTTCTGTTGACAGTTATCATCGCCTACTATAAAAAAAAATTCCCTCTGTGACCCTAAGATGATTAATGCATCATGTGGAAAATCATTTACAACCATTTTTTTTATCCAATCCAAAATCCAATTGGAATGATAAAAATAAAATTCTTTAAAACTTGTCTAATTTATTCGACCCTGTATCTTCTATGATTTCGGATATCCTCATGCAATTCTTGTATTGGACACTATTATTTTTATTGTTATGATGGTTGAAAAACATTTTTTTATGTTAGGGTCAAGAAAAAATAATGAATGAAAAATTGCAATTACTTTACAAAGCATTAAAATATATAACCCACTTTTTGTTGTAATTGTGTAATTTTTCCAAATTTATAGTATTAAATGTAAACTGCCTACCCCTACTTAGCACCTGGGAATAACCTATTGATGTACATTCTATGTAATATATGTTTTTCCACTATAGGGGATATGTAGAGCATAGTTTTTTACAAACTTCGTATACTCCCACCAATGCTAAGTTCAATATTTCCATTTTAGGATTCTTGGCTAAAAGAACTTCAGTCCTTCGACTCAGAACGGCCTTGAGAACAGACGAACGCGTCCGTCTTATGAACGAAGTGATATCCGGCATACAAGTAATTAAAATGTATTGCTGGGAGCAACCTTTCTCCAAACTGGTAGCCTTCGCCCGCAAGTAAATGATCCGCACCATTTAAAAAGAGAATTTCCGATTTTATATTATTTTAGAAAGGAAATGAATGCCATCAGAGGTCATGCCTACATTGTCGGCCTCATCTACTCATTCGAGGTATTCGTATCGCGCACATCCATCTTCCTCAGCATATTAGGTTACGTACTTTTGGGCAATTACGTCACTGCCGAGAAGGTGTTCTCCATCACCGCCATTTACAACGCTCTTCGGCCCGTGATAACAATCCTCTTTTCTATTAGCATATCGAGCTTGGCCGAAGTCAACATTTCAGTGTTGAGGGTGCAAAAATTTCTCAGCTACGACGAAATAGGTGATAAAGAGGTTGCTTTGGAACTCAGCCGGAGCAAAAGTCTTACCAATGGGAGCCTTGATCATTACGGCTCGTTGAACGGGACAGCCAAAGGCATAAAAGCTTCCAAACTAGCGCTTTGCAATGTCTATGCCAAGTGGTCGGATGATGTGCCGGAAGATACTTTAAAGAACGTCAGTCTCTGTGTGAATTCCAACCAGCTACTGGCGGTGATAGGTCCAGTTGGTAGTGGAAAAAGTAGCCTCATAAATGCGATTCTGAACGAGCTTCCGGTGAAATATGGCCAAGTGGAAATCAATGGCGTCGTATCGTATGCTTCACAGGAACCCTGGTTGTTCTCGGGTAAGAGATGAATTAATATTAAAAATTAATATGTATTTTTCTGAACAATATCATCCCGTTACGGGTCTAAGACTGTTGAACTAAAACTGTCAACAAAATGCCAGCTCGCGTCTTAGATGAACATCATTTATGTATCAGAGTATCTGTCTATAAGCATGTTCCATAATGTACAACTGACAATACTGGCGATATTTCATAGAGTGATTTCTTAAGTATTTTTAAGCTAAAAAGTTAATATAAACGTTTCTTCTAAACATACAGTGTAAAAGTTTTATTTTAATTTTTTTTCTGTATATAATGGAATAGAAATTTTATTTGGGTAGGTTCGTACAATTTAAAATTTCAATTGTGGCAGGTTCCAAAGCAAAACAATAAAAACTCAGCGCAGAGTTAAATAACTATAAAAAGTCAGTGGACTTTTTATAGTTATTTAAGTTAGTTAATTATTATGTGTGTTCGTTAGAATTGTTGGTGGTAGATGTAAGTGGTCGGGGTGAGCAGGGAGAAAGAGATTAATAGAAGCACTGTGGAATAACGACGTTTTATTCCTCCAAGGAACTTAGTCAATAAGTTACCCGCTTTTGACGAAAAAACGACTACCGATATAAAAACAAATCGTCACTACTTCACCTGAGCACAACCCGAGGGGGTCTAAAGATTATATTTTCCAATACTTTACAATTGCTGTTCGTGAACGTTATTAAACGCGACGTTACCAGAAATCTTGCGGAGGAAACAAATTTAGCGTAAACGTGCCCAAGACCCTAAAACTGTAGTTTTAGTAGAAGAAAATGTTGAGATAGACTGGCATATACCTGTGCATTTTTCGTCCTACCTAACGTTATTTGGATAAGACCAGAATAATCAACCCCGTAGAAGCGCCCGAGCTTCTTGTATCGAAACGGGTGGCAAATCAGACATCATCATCCTATTACCAATCAAATTTCTTCCCCCCCACTAAGAACTCAAACCGTAATTCTTAGAATTTTAGGCTACGACGAAAAGTAATCTATTAAATCTAAAGGAGTAGGTAGAGATTTCATAACAGCGGTGGCGATTTGCCTTTCTTCGGCTGCTAGTTTTGTTGACCGGATGTAAAAAAAAAAACCCGAAGGCGTTGGATCAATTATTGGAACCTCGCTACGACAACGTATCCAAATGCCGTTTAAATTGTTATCTGATGATCCCCTTATCCGACCATTCCCCAGTATTTGAGCAAAAATTTCAACCCCAATAATACCATCCATATTCCTAGGCTGAACAAATTAATTAGCAGCTAAATCAATATCTTTAAAGTTCAAAATTGTGCTTGTATTTTGCAATTCGAACCGCTTGAGCGTTGCTACCAAAACCTTGAACCAAGAAACAATGTTTTAAAATTTTTACAACAATTAAGTGTAAATAAATTCGCTTGGCTATCCGAATCTAATATAAATCTACATGTGTTATTTGGAGTCGAACAGTCAAATACCAACACAACCACTATGGAAAGTGCGGTAAACTGGCGTGAAAAAGTGACGCTTCCCGCACGCTAGATCGGTGTGTAATCAGCTATTTTACAGACGGGAGTAGAAAAAAATATTTTCCCCGCTTCGCGGTCCGCCATACTTTTGTCCTAGTCCGGTTTTCCCATGTGCAATAAATTTTATTGCATATTGAGCACGTTCGCTCTGACCGACAATTTCTAACCCCGTGGATAGCCGATAAACAATTATAACACCAACCTCTATCCCTCACCGCTTCATATTTTTTAGTTGGCGTTGGAGCATTGTACTTGCATCTTCTTGCGAAATGAGGAAGCATGAAGAAAAAAAATGTTTTTGCAAAAGACACAGGTACCTTATTTTTGTGATTCAGAACCAACGATTTTAACTATTGGTTTTGTTTTGTGGTTGTACCTACTTTGGAAGAATTATTCACATGCAATATCTTTGTTTTCTGGACAAGATTGACAAGGCTGGAATAAGTAGGAATAGTTAAATTCTGTTGTTGCAAATAGCTATTTGCCAGAAGTGGCTTATTTTATAATTTTTTTAATAATTCTGTAATTTTCACTGGTGATCGAGATACTCGCACAAACCGTTAAAACTGAACCTCGCAAACGTCCAATCAAATAATTAATTTTGTAAAGATCTTTCAAAGAACCATTCTCGCGGATTATATTTGTTTACAGAGAATGGAAGGCTGACCCACCGAAAATTCGGATAAATTGATTTTTGGTAGAGGAGGGACCTTACTTCTACAACTGTAGGTGCATCGGGCACATCTAAAGTACAGACAGACACTAATATAATAACAAAGTTCGTTTACCGTATAGAATAAGTTCTAATCCGGTACAAAATCCTGTTTAAATTCGAATTCTCTAAGCTTAGATTCATAGTTTTAAATTTACTAAGTTTCGCCGTATTTAACGATTTAAATAATTCGTAAAGCGTTTGCAGCATTTCTAAGCAACTTTCTTTCTTTGCCGTTAGAACTCTAAACTGTCTCTCCGTATTAGTTGCCATTTCACAGCTAACGAAATTAAATAATAATTAAATATAATGAAAATTCAACCAAAATTAACCCGATTTCTGGCCCATTCGTCAACCATTCACTAAAAGAAATTATAAAAGTGAAACAAAAATAATTTTAATATTGAAGAACCACTATGAAACTTCCTCAAAATCGATGTAATTTTATTGTGCACCCAGCCTGTATAAAGTGACTTTCACGTCTCGCCGAACTTCAAAGTCATGGCAAACTTTGGTAAATACAAAAATTTGTATAAATAATAGCAATTTCCATTGATATTTTTTCAAATATCTCGCGCACTCTGTATGAAAGACGAAGCCTGAAACTCTTTCTCCATACAAGTTATGATACGGTTTAAACCAAATTATCCCATGTTTTATAGTTTTTCATTTACCTCTAATAATTTACTCACGAAAACGACAATTTTGAGGATCTTTTTGTTTTTTTGACGTCATCGTGTCTAGATTGATGACGAGATACAGCGACATGGACTTTTTCAAATATCTCAAGCATGTAAGATAGGCGAAAACCTTAAATACAAAAATTATTGCTCATGATGCGGCCTTCATTACTATATAAACCAAATAGAAATATTTTTCCTGCATTTTGATTTACGGCTAATAATTTAATAGGAATAATTTTTATCCATAAATAAAATATCTTGTATATAATCGAAGAAATGGTTGAAATAAAAGTTATAGTACCGGATCTCCTGCGTCTTTTCTTCACTTCTACTTCCTAGCCAAATCTGAAGTCGACAGATGCAAAGCTGAGACATCTATTATACGTTATAATTTAGCACGAAATATCCCGACCACCCTGCCCAATATGTGAAAACGTCAAATATATAAATAACAATTGCAACACAGGCTTCTAGTTATACCAATTTTTTACTTTTTTTAAAATACTTTCCGGTTCCCCCCACCCCCCTCACCAACCCAAGTTTTAATAGGTTCTGTTAGGGGACTGAAAGCTATTTGCCTGCTAAATTTGAAGTCTACAGCTTCAAATTTTGGACATCGTGTTTTATAGCGATGTACGAAAAACAGAAGAAAATCGCGAAAAAAGGAGGACTTGATTCTGACCATCATTTCTTGGCGAATGTGTCTCGGATGTTAAAAAGGAGCTAAATTTGAATAATTTATGTTAGGTTAAAAGCCCAAAGACCGGCATTGTAGCCATGCTTCTTCCAATATCTAAAATTAATGAAAGCATCTTTATACTTTCCATCACTTGTATTTTAATCTACAAAATTATTGCGGTGGTGTCAAAAGGATTTAGTATATCTTAAGCTCTTACGGAAGTTATCTGATGACATTAGTGAGGCCTTTTGTTTGGGCCTAGGTGGGTTTGAGGATGGATGATTAAATCTCGTCTAATCTTATTTTTTTGGAAGATCACTTAAGGCAACTCATACTCATTCTAACTATGCAAACCTTGTGTACGGAAATCTAGCAAAAGCTCTTTTCTTACTTTTGAAAGAAATATTTTATTATTTTTTTACCATTATTAGTTTTATAGCATAAAAGTTACAAAGTTATTAAATCCGTTCAGAAATCCGGGAACAATTCTAGTAAGGTCGGATGAAGCGATTAGTTATTGGTATTTGTTCTGTTTTTCAAGATAATTAAGATGTGTGCGAGTTGTTTTTTGTTTTTCTTTCTACCCTGAAAAGTTATAATTATCATACATAATAATACAGAGGGAGTATCAGGCGTTCAAATGAGTGAGAAATCTGTATAGGAAAAAATGTGTTTGTTTCGGTAAGTTGTCCAAGAAATTGACACTTAACGTCGCATTTTTCAAGACACTTAATGACGAATGTCATCTCGCGTTGGTGAGTTTATGCTGTCATAACATAACATAACACTTTGTCCCTCGTAAGTGAAAATAATGTATATTATATTTGCAATACCATAACCATACATTACTAACTTTTCTATATTTTATGGATATTTTTTTAGTCAAACTACTTTTAATCTTCTTTCAATAGTCTACCTCACTGATGGTTATAAGGTAGATTTGGTGAGACGATAAAAGGTGTATTTTAAAGTAGGGTAGATGATAAGTTGACGTATGTGTTATCTTTAACTTAGTCCAATAAACTACTCTATTTTAGGCAGTGTGAAGCACAATATCCTCTTCGGAGAAGATTATGACGAAGAACGGTACAACAAAGTTGTTCATGTGTGCGCTTTACTATCGGACTTTGAAATGCTTCCGTATGGTGACAAAACGTTGGTCGGAGAGAAGGGAAAGTCGCTAAGTGGAGGCCAAAAAGCTCGCATAAACCTTGCCAGATGTATCTACAAAAAGGCCGACATCTATTTGCTAGACGATCCTCTATCGGCAGTGGACGCCAACGTCGGGAAGCACCTCTTCGAAAAATGCATTCAGGATTTCCTAAAGGATAAAATCCGTATCTTAGTCACCCATCAGCTACAGTACCTTCAAAATGCCGATAAGATCATTATTATGAATAATGGTCAAATTCAAATTGAAGGAAAATATGAACAGCTGCAAAGTAGCGGAGTAAATTTCGGCAAATTGCTAAAGGAATTTAGTGCAGAAGAAGTCGAAGAAAATAAGAAAAAGAAGATCAGGTCTAGGCAAAATTCGGCTATAGAAGAACAGAGCCAAGCCCTAGTTGACGCCGATGGCGACGCGCCGGAAATGGAGAAAGAGGTTCAGGGTACTGGAGGCATAAGCAAATCTCTGTATTGGCAGTACTTCAGGGCTGGTGGAAATATATGCTCCATCGTTTTCATGGCCTTTCTATTCCTGGGCTGTCAAGCGGTTGCGAACGGAGCGGAGTACTTTGTTACCTATTGGTGAGATTTTTATTAAAATCTATTTTACAGAGGTGAAAAGTAATAAAACCTCATTAATTTTTCAAAGAAAGCCACTGTAACACCGTTTACAAATATTCTGAACTTCTCCTGCGTCGGTCGTTTACGAAACTAACTTGGTGACATGTAATGGAACGATTAATATCTGTGGAAATTATATGAGAGAATATCAGATTTTAGGTGTTTTAATTTTGGATTCATTAGATCTGGTTAGTTTGTAGTATTTTGGAACATCAGGAACAACTGAATTCTCGATTATAACCAGTCATCGCAAATATATTTATGGAAGCTTTTGAAAAGAAAGCCCTCGACATTTTCTACCTAAAAGCAAAAATATTAAGCTACGTTGATAATACTTATTTGTCATCATGATCAAGAATCACTCCAAGATTTTGGTGTGTGTGTTGTGTTAATACTGTTGGGCAATAAATTTAAATTGTTTGTGTATTTATTTATTCTGCTATTTAAACTCTATACGCAATAACATAGGTGTTACCATTAAATTAGAAACTAATTCTGCTCTGAAGAAGCCAACAGGATAATTTTCGAAATGTAAGCAGGAGGAATCCAGAAGATTTGTAAATAGTAAAACCTCATTAGGTATGCAAAGAGACTACAAAGTTTACTCACGCTTATGGCCGACACCCAAATTGAGCAGAACTGAATTTATTTTCCTATATGATCATTCTACACTTTTCTGAAGTTGCGTTTCATATAACAGTTTAAAGTTGAATCGGACTTGCATTAAGTTTGATGCTTCAAAAATAATTTAAGCCAAGTTTAAATCAAACAATTACCCAACATTTTTGCTTGTTAGCCTACTTTCTTGGTTTTAGCCTGTATAATATAAAAAACAAAACAAACTATTTTAATAAATTCAAAAAAAAACATTAACTTGATGGATTTTAGGGTCAACATGGAGCAAGATTACGCCGAAAAAATCGGAAAACAACTTACGAATGCCACACTTTACAATAGTACTTCTGAAATAGCCAGAGATCAAATTTTTTACATTTACGCGGGTCTGACAGCCGGAACTATTGCTGTGGCAGTGCTAAAATCGATTTACTTCATGGTGTTTTTCACACTAGCGTCGACGAATCTCCACAACTTTATATTTTCGAAGATCATTCGAGCAAAGATGCGTTTTTACAACACAAATTCGTCGGGCAGAATCTTGAATAGGTTCTCCAAAGATATGGGCAACATTGACGAGTATATTCCTTCGGTGCTTGTCGATGTAATCGAGGTATAATCCGTTTATTTTAAATTATCCATTTTCTTAAGTTGTTAATGGCAAGCGGTACTGTAATACACTTGGAGTCGTTAAAATGACTTTTACTAGGGTATCAATGATGCTATGCTACTGCTTACCTTGCAACCAGATAGCGTATTCTGACATTATCGTAACGAAAAGAAAAATATAAATGATGCAATATCACTTTTTTACCTTATTAGATAGTTAATCCAGTGAAACGCCCATGCAAATATCGTTATCTTATCTGAAATAGGAATAAAAGAGCTTAAATCTAAAGAAAAGAGATTTGTCATATTCAGTTTTTAGGTTTTTTTCTTACAAATTTGATCCACTTTCTGTTTCTGTTGAATTAATTGAATTAAAAAATATGCATGTGTTAATTGACACTCTGTAGCTGCAGCAGCGAAAACCAGTTTGTCACAGGGAGGTTTTTCTTTCTGAATAAGACATCTCCATTACCTAATTTGATACTCTACAATTAAAACCCATGAGCCAAAAAGATGCAGAATTTTACAAGGATTACAGTGGTTGTACTTTGTAAACTTCTGTAAACTGCTTAATTTTACACCGGTCTAGCGTGCGGACAGCATCACTTTACCACGTGAGTTTCTTGTTCCAAAGATCGGAGCGATAATATCCCGGACATTTCCGGGATATTATCGCACGGGTTTGGGATCAATTGCATGTTTTCGAAGATTTTACCGCACTTCTTGAAGTTTGACGTTTTTCAATTCTGATGCTCATGTCAGTGAATGTATTCGTGTTGTTTTACAAAAATGTCCCAAAAACTCACGCTCGAAGAAAAAGTATAGTATGCAGCTGGTTTGGTAAATTTTGCCTTTTACCGCACTTGTTGCATAATATACTATCATCAACCTATAATAATTATTAAGTAAAATACAGTTTTCTACGGGATCATAGCTATAACACGCCCTACCTGCATAAATATGAACTTGAAAACTATATCCAGTATTTTCTTTTGATCTCTACAATTCGTGTTTTCGGAGATATAAGTACCTTGCTTATTTGCTATTATTTGTATGTATTATTACGGAAAATTATCATTTTTGTCAGTATCGTTTGTTTTTAGCTATATTTAGACCTTGTTAACTTTAATTGTTTGTTTGTCTCTTTTTTTCTTCTTTACATATACAATTAACCAATATCGAAAATCAGTAACAATAGTAGCTTGTATTGTTTTTTGTAGATTTATAAGCTGGTTTTTTATACAAATGCGGATTGCTATTGTCCTTGGGTTCATTTACCTTTTTTTTTAGTGTTACTTTTTTATTATATCTTTCATTTTATTCGTATTAAAGGTGGCGCTGTTATTGGCTGGGACCGTGATATTAACCTCCATTGTGGAACCATTGCTGCTGATTCCGTCATTTGGTCTTATGGCTACATTTTACTCTTTGCGTCTAGTTTATATCGAGACGAGCAGAAACGTCAAACGCATCGAATCTATCAGTAAGAATTCGCTGCAACAAGCGCCAAGCAAATTACCTTGTTATACTTCTATATAGCCAAAAGTCCAGTGTTCGGTCACATGGCAGCATCTGTCCAAGGGTTGAGTACCATAAGAGCGTTTGGTGCACAGGAGCTGCTCATTAAGGAGTTTGACGAGTTGCAGAACAGACACAACGCGGCATGGTTTCTGTTCATCGCTTCCAGCAGATGTTTCGCTTTTTGGTTAGATCTTTTCTGCATTCTATTCATTGCCGTCGCAACTTTTTCCTTATTAGCTCTTAATAAAGGTAGATTACCTGTGATAAAAGAAAGTATCGCATTAAAAAATATATATTTCGCAGTTGTTCACGGTGGAGATATTGGTCTGGTCATAACGCAGTACTTGGGTCTCACTGGTTCCCTGCAGTGGGGAATGCGCCAGTGGAGTGAATTGGAAAACCAGATGACGTCACTGGAACGAGTGTTGGAATACACCAAGTTGGAAAGTGAACCCGAAAGGAGCGAAGAAACGTCAATTCCGGCAGATTGGCCTCAGCACGGCGCCGTGCAGTTCAAGTGCGTCAGGCTCAGGTACAGCGAAAAAGATCCCTACGTACTTAAAGGGCTGAATTTCGTGGTGCGCCCTCAGGAGAAAGTGGGGATTGTCGGCAGGACGGGAGCGGGAAAATCGTCCACAATATCCGCCCTCTTTCAACTGTATGATATTGAGGGTAGTATCGTTATTGATGGGATTGACACCACCACATTGCCATTGGAGAAGGTGCGGTCCAGGTTATCTATTATTCCACAGGAACCCGTACTGTTTTCTGGTGAGTAAAAACATCGTCGCATCATATAGTTACAACTCAAGCTGGCACTATTGATAATTTCATTGACATTGCTTGATTGATTAATGCGACAGACCATTGCGATTCCGATTGATTTCAAAAAATTTTCTTTTCGAAATGGAATTTAAAGCATGACCTGCAGGGGTACCTATGTAGTCTGACATTGTCTTGCTTCCAATTTGGATCTGGCGGTTGCTGAATGTAGGGCAATAAGACATATATTAACACGTTCTTAATATAGGATTAAACGTTCATTTTTGTGTCCAAAAAAAAAACAAAAATGTTCTGCTTCCGACTGTTATCGCGGCTCAATCCACATGCCCGTAGACGGATTGTTTTATTCCATTGAGTCCATTTCTCGAAAACATGCCAGACGCAGCTAACTAGAATATACACGACTATAGGCCATAAGCTGTAATTCTTCGATAAAACGATCCCAGAGATAACTGTCGACCCGTATCTATCACACCCTCTACTCATCTCCGCTAGTCTTTCAGTCTTGGGAGTTGTTCTTCGCGATCACTGCTTCATCTTAAAGCTTCCGGGTCCCTACGACGTGATGGCGACTCTGAACAACACTCTGCCCAACATCGCAATCCGGCTTCCTATTTACCGTAACGGCATCCCAGCGTCTCGCAGACCTACCTCTTTCAAGTGCTATTATTTAACGATACACGGCATTATCAAACGATGTTTTCAATACTGCAAAGGTAATGAAACTGATTATTCTTTCAGTAAAATTTAAAAAAAAATCGGTAATTGGCAAATAGAGTGCGACAAAAATTTTAAGCAGGCAATCAACCGACAAATACTTTAAGAATACAAATAAATAACCAAAACTATTAGAGTTCCGTCACTAATGAGTCAACCGGTATATCTAGTTTCTCGTAGCAATTATAGATCCACAATGACTGATACGTACCCACTTCTAGGTACTATGCGTAAAAACCTGGACCCGTTCGAAGAATACAGCGACGACGTATTGTGGGATGCCTTGGCCCAAGTTGAACTGAAAGACATGATCTGCCATTTGCCAGCCGGACTAAATTCGAATGTTTCGGAGGGCGGAACGAATTTCAGCGTCGGTCAGCGACAGTTGGTATGCCTCGCCAGGGCACTAATCAGGAACAACAAAATTCTGGTGTTGGATGAGGCAACAGCAAACGTCGACCCCCACACTGACGCTCTTATTCAGACTACAATCAGAAATAAGTTTGGAAACTGTACAGTTTTTACTATCGCCCACAGGCTGCACACTGTCATGGATTCGGACAAGATACTCGTAATGAGTGGAGGAAGTGTGATCGAATTCGACCATCCATACATTCTATTAAAGAAGGAGGGCGGAATTTTGAGAAAACTGATTGAAGATACGGGAAAAAGCATGTCTAGAACGTTGGAGAATATTGCCAAAGAGGTATTCCTTGTTTGTTTTCTTTTAAATGAAGCATTGACACTTTCGATAATTTATTTCAGAATTTCCTAAGAGGTCAGGTGGAATGAGCCCGAAAAGAGTTGTGGAATTTATAACCTGTTCTCAATGATTCACAATAATAATGGTTACTCGAAATAGGGTCAATTATGAGGCTTTAACTAGATACTTAAATTGAAATATATAAATGTATCTTACGTGTATGGATCCCATACACATTTATTTTTTGAACCATTAAGACAACTTGAAACTTTAGAAATCCGATTGGGATTTCAAGATACGCCATCTGGTAGTCAAATGTTAAATCATTCGGTAGTACAATGAGATTATTAATTTATTATTATTTTAGTGGACGTTTTGTCACTGTTGAGACTTAAAACATTAAGTTCAGAAGTATTTAATTTATTTCTTCAATCTAAGTTTTGGGTCGCAAGAAAGTTTGCTGTGTGGAGTGAAAAATTCTATATTAAAATGTAAAAGAAATGCTGAAATATGAAATCTTTTTAGCACTTGTTTCAAGGCAACCTAGACATACATATATAAATATATAAAGTATTTTCTATGATTTAAGTTTTACCATGCAAAATAACATGCCCTGCATTAAAAACATCTCCCTCTATAATACACCAACAATCACTTAAAATAATTGAATACGCAAATGAATTTCGTACTTAAAACAACTGAATTTTTGTACCATTTGCATACTTACCAACTTTCAATTAAAAAACTCCATCAAAAGAAAACTTTTCTTATTTGTCCTTTTTTTCTTATACACAGTAAATAACCGTTTAAACAAAAATTGAATTATATAATACGCCCATAATGTTCCTTGCTTCCAATATCGCACCGGTATTCAATTGGGCTTAATATTAGCAGTGGCATTTTTCCTAAAAATAAATCATTGCCAAAAATCATTTAAAATAGTTGACTTTGAAACTAAATTTTATTGTTATTTATTTATTATAAAATTAACAAATTGCCTCAAAAATAAACTTTTTATATCTGTTTCTTCTTATTTCTATTTTATCTTTGCTTTTACCGTATAAATAACAGCAGGTTATGTTTCAATGTACTACCTTTTACCACGACTACTACTACTACTTTTTGAGATTATTTTGGCAACTTTTAATTGCAAAATTTGGATTTAAAACTTGTCTATACCAGAATTTCATTCTATTATTTAAGTCATGTCAAATTTTATTTACACTAATCATCCAAGGATTAAAACGACAATAACTAAAGTTTCTTATCATAACTTCAAGAATACTTACATGCAACATGTAATACAAGTAAAAACAACAATCATGTTGGACACAAAAAATATTCAGAAGGCAACTTGTTATCCAGAAGCAGTTACTACTGAAAAACTGATCCTCGTCATTTTATAAATAATAATTAAATATCACAGAAGTGCTAAAAAAAGCACAAATATATTTTTTTAATAATTTATTTTTAAAACGAAATAATACGTGATGCCTAATAAATAATATTATAAATTAAAAAATATTTTATTGGTATAGTCACATTTCAAACTACTTTTCGAATAGCTTAATTCTAAGTTCCATCCAGTTTGTAGAAAATCAGTTAGGGCTGCAGCTACAATGTCGACGTTGTCAACGTAAAAAAAATGTTTTATCACATTGCCAAAATTTTAAATGGATATCTCGCAAAATTGGGCTTACTCAGAGACACTAACCTTTTTATTACTTGCAACTGTGTAGTTATCGATTTTATTATAATAATGTTATTGGTGCTTGCATCGATTTTTGTACAATATTTTTGATAATTTTAAATAAAATATGTAAAACCGTATATCAAATAAATCAAAAAATTATGTTTTTATTTTCATTTTTTAATATGTGCATATCCTTACTTTCTGAAAAATAGAACACATTTTTTTTCTTCTCTCTAGTTTAAAATCGGTGATTATGCTGATCAAGCGTGCGGAAAATGTCATTTTAAGACAGCACCTTCTGTTACCCATAATTATGAACCAATTAGGACGATTGTCGTGTTATTGTGACAGATTTTTTCCGATTTCCGATACTTTAGTCAGGGATATGCCACCAATCATATTTTTTCGATTGATTTTGACAGGTCATACGCCACTCGGTGAATGTATTCGTTGCAAGTAAAAACAACAATCATCTTGGGCATAAAAAATATTCAGAAAGCAACTTATCATCCACAAGCAGTTGCTATTGAAAAACTGATTACAATAGTTGCTATTTATAAATAGAAAGAAAACTAACCAGGGGCGTAATAGTTATTTAAAGGATGTTCACCATTTTATCAAAAGACTAATGATAATAAATACTCGATGATATTCTAAACACGCATGATTACCATTTTCGCATTTTGCGTAATAAAGTTGATTATAAATTACTTATAACAAATCATAAGCTTTTATATAGAACTAATATCTTGGGTGTCCCATTTGATTTTTTATTTTTCACATAAAGGTATTGAAAGATACAAAGGAAGAAAGTAAATAAAACTTTTGAAGAAAAGCATTAGTTCACATCAATAGTATTACAAAGCAAAGAACAACAAAAGCAAGGAAAAGGCAAAAGCAACTTCCCTGATACATTTACTTTATTAGTACAAATCACAAATGATTTCACAAGTTTTGTTGACACCGGGTGAGCTTTTGCAGCGCAAATTTCTCTGTCAGCAGCATCAGTTAGAAAAATGTTCTCAGATTTTTTGAATACACAAATTGCTTTTGAAACCATTTTTACAACATAAAATAGCTGTTTAAAATACTTTATAAAGACACCAGAAAGAAACAATGTGAACCAAAAATAATACTGTTGAATACTGCAATTATTTTGTAACTTTTCTAGTGAGAGTGAGAAACAACTTTAAAGAATTTAATTCAACACAAAAAAATCATCAAAACATTGAACACATTCATTTTTGACATAATGGGTATCAAAATTTTATTTTTGTTTCTGTTAAAATAATTTTTGAAGTAATATTAATATTTTGCGCAAATTAGTATATAAGGAGTCTTTTAACATGTGAAATTCGAATTTGATTTTGGTATCGCTTTACAGGGCTTTTTACTCTTTTGAAATGTCTTAACTTTTTGCACGTATTGCATAAATTTTTTAATATAAAAAATAGATTTTTTTCCGGTTGAAATCCCCAAGAAACCGTATTTATTCAAATTGGTGGAAAAATATCTCGAGAACTGCTGTCCATAGCAACTTATACAAATATATACAAGTATGGACAAAAAAATTAGGACCTTTTAAAAAGTGAAGGAATATGTAGGTGCAGCAATATTAAAATCAAATTCAAATTTTGCATATAAAAAAGTACGAATACCAATTTCCATCTAAATCTCAACATTATTTCAAATATTATATAAATAAACTTTTTGTTTCTTAAATTTAAGCTACATAATTTAGTAGCCGTGTGTATTTTGATTCTAAATGGCATCCTTAAGTTGACATCTTACATTTAAGTACCAAACGATAGAACTACTATTGCTAATTTGGCTAACGTTTTATGGTATCACTATTCTAAAATCTCCACAGCTGTTACGCGTCCGTCTCTCCATCTGAATCCTCAGCCTGTTCCTCGGGCGTCCTCAAATCAATGGCAAGCCTTTTCATTGGCTTGCCCGACTCTATAGAAGCCTCTTTCACCTTTCTGCCGTAATCTTGAAATGTCGCAGCTAACGCGTACGTAATTTTCCTCGCTTGGTCTCTCGAATCGCAAACGAAGCTGTGGCAGATGAATGGATTCGCTAAAGTATTAATTCGACTTCAAGGACCGTTTAAAATTTTAAGAAAATTCCTTTTTACCGCTCTTGAGGGTTTCGTCGACGACAATTATCATACTGAACACTCGGGTGTATACCAAATCCTGTACGCCATAGGAAATTACGTCCACAGTAAAAGAGGTGGTTTCCGAGGGGGATTTTTTGTTCGACTTTTGAGTGAAGGAAAATCCATTTTGGGAGACGACCACATCGACCAATGGCAATATTTCTCCGGGTCGTAGGTTTTTCGCCATCGAGACTAGGTGATCAACGGGCTTTCTCGTATGTTTTATGCCCCATAGTCCTCTGGCTGGACAGTTACCTAAAAAAAATCGATATACATATTACGATTTATCAAATTCACTTCAAATTTGAAAAGAATCCCTTACGCTTTGTTTCTTATTGCAAGAAAGTCATAGTAGTACATCCGTGATTATTCAATTATCCTACTCTATAGGCGCAGCATTGTTTAGTCTGACACACGAAAATGGCAATGACTCTAATAACGCTATTCAAGTTTTTATCTGCTGGTAGGCATTTTTGGGCCATTAAATCAAACCGGTCCAGGGTAGTAGTAAAGAAATTGAAACACAAAATATATGAATATATTCGGCATAATTGTAATTATATAAATAATAAAAACATATCAAATAAAATTAGTCGTCAGAATAGTTCGAATCAGCTATCACTATCATCCACCGATATAATATGGTATTACGAGGTCCCAAGGTTTTTTATAATTATATTCCACTTCAAGCACATGATTAACACATTCTCTCCAACTGCTATTAATTCACCCGGACTTTAAATACATCATTTACATGGGCGGATACTTTTGAGATTATATTATTGGGTCAAACTTCGTTTTTTAATTCATCCATATAATTTCTATATAAGGCATATATGGGGGTATATTACCTGATTTTTTGTATGACCTCATCTATAAAATAAGTTGTATCATACGATTTGGTTCTTAATACTTCAACCTGTTGTTTTTTTGTATCATTATATTCAAAATAAAGGTCGTGCCGACTAAAGAACTCTTGCAGTGCCTCTTTTTTGCTGCTGATCGTTGGTACTTTTTAGCTAAAGTGCTGTGATATCCTGATGGTAATCTAACGTATTTATTTTTTTTTGCTGCGTTTGGCACGCAACATGCCAGCCACAGTGTAAAGTAGATATATTTTTTCTAGTTGCAGGTGCATTCCTAATTCAGTTCGTTGAAGAATTTTGTCATGGGTGTCGAACCAAGTCTCGTGTAAATAATATATATTTCATTTCTCTACACGAAAGTGATAACGGTAAGTAAAATAATATTGTCTCGTTTGGTATATTTAATGCAACTACGCCAGTCAATATTTTGAAATCTAAATCCGATTTTGTGCAGAAATCGGCGTAATGTTTTAGCGCTGAATCGGATTATTTTCATACATCGCATACGCTTCCCTGCGAATCCACTCCGCATTGCCATTTCTAAACACTTTTATTATGTCTTTGTCACATCGTTCCGTCCTTTCTAGTGAATCATTATTAAGGAATCGACGCGAGGTTGACCGTGGAATGCCAGGTACCTCTTTGTCCTCCCAATGGAAACTTCCACGCGTTCTAACGTTAGACCTGCAGAGAAATTTTGCATTAACAAATATAAATTAATAGCAGATTTTTGTATATTAAACAGTTTCTTTAAACCTAAACACGTAGAAAGTAGGTTAGCACATTCTTTTTGGTTCGTTACTCTCCTGCATAGTCGAAATTTTTGTCAACCCATCATCTAAACATAACAAATAATGATTGTAACACCAATAATGGCAAGGCGCAAATGATTTTAAATTTTCTAAGGTGTCAATACTATTAAAATAAAAATACCCCGCTTGTAAATCGGCGTTTGGTTTATTGAGAGTAAAGAGCCTTCCGTTTATGATAGGTCAGGCAAGTTATGACCATTTATCGTGTGCCGACCTAAACCTTTAATGATTGTTAAGGTCCCTGAGACACAGATCTAAACGGACAGATAGTTCATCTCCTTGTGGCGTAGTGTTTAAAATTAGATTTATATTTACTCTTCTGCAGACAACGTTCTCTTTTGAAAGTGACCAGTGTTTTTGAATTTTTTTCTGAGAAATGCATTAGTGACGCTACGCTTTCTAAAAATAAGAAAATTATTATTCTCAGAATGTACAAAATAGTTGAAATTTTACAGTTAATAATATAGCGAAAAGAAACTTTAATGAATTAGGATGAAAAAACTGGACAACATAATATCGGAAATGAAAAAGCATGATTTCATTCTGCCCATGAGGAAAAAGAAATTGTAGAAAACTTTGAAAGAAACGAATTTTCATTACGAAAAAACTCAAAACAGAAAATTACTTTTCATAAAAAAGACGAAATTGTCTGCTGGCTGCGACGATATTTGAGAGCAGAACAAACCCGTTTCGAAGAAAAAACGGGAATATCTATGATGTGCACGAAACGTGGGTAAATGAAGGATATACCGTTGGTAAAACATAATAGGATAAAGATTTAAAAAGCGCTAGGCAAGGTTCCACTGGTCCGCTGGAACAAAAATACCCTTGCAAAAAAGTAAAAGATTAATAATTACTCACATTGGTAGCTGATGACGTGCTAGAAAACACCGCAGAGAACCTTATTATTTATCTGGACTGCAACGACTATGATTCATCCGACTTTACAAATGACGTAGTGTAAATAGTAAATTTTTTCAAATAATAATCTTACATATCGCTATATTTTCATTCACCAAACTCCTCGTTCTCTTTCTATGGCATGCAAATTAGTTCGACTGTAATTTACGAACGTTTGGAGGTGTGTAGGTCTTAAAAACTGACGCATCAAATTTATCGGACACTATCGTTGTAATTTGTCTGAAATTTTCGATATAACCTTTAAGTTGGCCACCCTGTTTAATGATCGATGTATATTTTATAGTATATTTTATTACTTTCTCGCATTAAGAAACTAGATATTAATATAATCAAGATAAACTTGATCAGGGAGCTGGAAAATGAGTGGGCTTTCAAAACAATTTTAAGAATGTGTTTTTTCTATTTATTTTGCAAAAATAAACAATTTTACAAAAGTTAACTTTTGTAATTTCGTCAGTTAATCCAAAGACCTAGAAAAAACACCGTATGCAGGTCATCAGCGTGGAATAATGCACAGAAACAATATCTGAAGTTAAAAGCCATATAAGTTTATTTAGATCAGTATTTGGAAATATTTTTCGGAAGCTGAGGTCTTGTTCATAGGAATCTTAATTGGATCTGCTGCAGAAATAAAAAAATAAAAAACATTTTTGCATTGTGCCTTCAAAACTCTAAGTAAAACTTCTTTACATGCTTCTTACATACATTTCCCCCTTAAATTATACAAACTTAATTTGAAAACGTTCCTTGAGTTATGTCCATAACATAGAAACTCATGTTTTACATATTTGTATTTCGGATCAGTGGGACTTTTCTTTCAATGTTCAATCCATTACGAATTGTGAATTAAACAACGCACAGTAAGTTCATGATTGTTTCGTCCTTTAAGTTTAGCCAAGATTAATGTAACATCAGGGCAAGAGAATTATACGACGGAAAAGAAAGATAATTTTTTTTACCAAAACTAGAGAGTAAAATAATCAGACGGCGACTGAACGTCTGGGCAACAATAAATTATTGGTTAGCCTATGATGCCCGTCTAACGTCCTAAAGCAAGTCTATCACTTTAGGTATTATTAACTTAGAAATTAACGTTAACACTTAACTTACACAAAAGTAACTCAAATTCAACGTCGGGATAGATAAAGTTGTGGTCGTAAGTCAGAAAAATGCTATTGGGGAATCGTTACCATTTACCAACAAAAAATATTTATTGAGTAAAGCGGCAACACGGCGCAGTAATCTATACTTGATAAAACCATAACGAATCGATAAGATTCGAGACTGGCAACCTGTCGAATTTTCTTTTCCGATATTAATTCGACCATACCCACCTAAGTATTTAATCTTAAAAGTCATAGGCAGATCGTTCACTGTTATGAGGGGTACTTCTTTATCTGTCATTGTTGGCGATGTAACTCACGCATTAAATGTAGCTAACTGTTCGTTAATATCACACGCGCACGCACTACTGTTCACCACCAACCAGCTGCCCCTACATGCTGGCCCCCATTTGCGACATCCTGCGTGTTATGTGTTCGTTCCGCTCAAAACCGCCGCTATTTGTCATTCGATTATAATCACCTGTTCATGTACCTATCTGGAATGATATTCTCCCCACTTCGATCCTCGTTATCTTCATTATTTTGCATTAAAGGGAGATGAATTTAAAAAATATATACGAGCGCATCTAGCGAAACATCAGTTTCCGTTTAAACAATAACGTTACGTTCACACGTTTAACAATGGGCACGGTGGAGTCCTTTGTTCAAAATTTAGTCCTCTGCTGATTTTACCAAACAAAATGTATGCGTCATTTGCTTGGTCGACCATTCTCTACTTCCAGTGTTTAATAGCTAAATAGTTAGTCCTAGAGAATATGTGAGTCATGAACATACTATAGCGGGATTCTTTTATAGCTGAATAATAATCCATTTTAGCGAAAAATTTTAAATTTTTATTATTAATATAAGTATTATTGCGTCTTTATTGTCCAAAAAGCAGGACAGGCTGACTGCTAGCTCTCCCAACTGTTAATCTAATCAGTATCCCTCACTGTTAAAGCCTGGCCATGAACTGAATCATCATATGATAACCATTATTTCACGATTTGGATAAAGTTTATTACAAAATTCAGAGGGTATTGACATAAAATATTAACATGTTTTATGAATCGTAGGTTAGTGTCCATCCACAGCTCCGGATATTTTGTCACAGTTTTAAACTCTATATCAACCTTATTCATTGTTAATTTCAGGGTATTTTTTACCTATTTTTGTGGTCCAAATAATATGGCATAAAACTTTGGGTTACAGACTGAAGATATACCTATATCTTTGTAGCTGCATCAAATACTCCATTTGCTTGAAAAGAATAAAGCAGTTGGGAATCCTTAGCTTAATTATTACGAGATACATGTTTCAGAACCGAGGGAAAGTCAGACAAGTATGCTGAGAAACGGTCCCAAGATCGCGGCATCAGGGTACTCTTTATGTCATGCTAGATTTACTATTGGTATAGACAACCTATTACGATCTCCTGTCAATGTCAGAGTTTAGTTACTTTAGTGACTTATCTTGAAAACCAAAAAAAAAACTTTTAGCACAGAACTTCATTATCAGCAGTATCAAAAGCTCAACTGTAATCAAGCAAAATCAAACAAAATGCTTTATTTCGATCCGTCTGACAAAGCATGTTATAAGATATTTTAGTAAGCGCAGTAAGACATCCAAAAGATTTACGAAAACCTGTGTAACTATAATAATTTTGTTCTTGAATAAGAAATCACTTATCTGTTGATAGAGCAGGTAAGATGCTAATTGTTCTTAACTGTGTAATGCACATATTTATGATGTGTGTTAAACCCAGTAGCATTAGTTTTTATAGAAGTCAAACAATTTTTAATATCAGCCTGACTAACCTTATTAAAATTTAAATTGGAATTTAATTGGTTTTTTGAAGTTGAAGTTGTACTTCAGTTGGAAAAACACAATGCATAAAAATAATCTTATGGTTGGTTAGGTGAGATGGTAAAGCACTATTTTTTTTATTATTTGGAGAAGTTAAGTTTGCAGAATTAAAATATAAGTTGCCGTACTCTATCGGACCTTTTATGTGTTGAGATTTAAGGGGGCCGTGGCCTCTTCTCCACCACGTGTTCGGGATTACGAGGGAACCCTGATTGTATGTTTGTTCCGCATGTAGCACGTCTATATACGCGAGGTTTCCAAAAGTATAATATATTTATAAATAAATAATATGACGCACTTAATAAAGTTATTTTCTCCACTAGGATGCTTGTTGAACCCTAAATAATTCCCGCATGTTGTTCCATGCGGTTTGTGTAAATATCCATCATTAAAAGAAACGAAAGCACAGGTAGTCCAATTTCTCTTATTAATGAAGATTTGCTTTTTCAAAAAAGTGATATTTTACCATATGTTCAAAATCAGGTTTATTTAGGAATAAATAAGTCACAGTTACATATACAAAGACATTATATTAGTAAATGGTTGTAAATTGGAAATCACTTTTCATGTTGTTCCACAAGAAACAGAAATATTATTAGGTCGAAATTTTATTAGGGCTTTTAGTTTATTTGTTTAAATAGTGACTATTAAAAAGAAACGTAAGTCAAATTCAAAATTCTCAAATAAAATTAATAAACTTACATATATGTATCGATCATGTATTTATCTCTGAGAAATGGATAAAACATGTGGAGAACAGTATCTTTCGACTATCTTCTCGACCATCTAAACCTACTGTTAATTATAAATAAAAAAATAATTTTAAACCTAATTGTCACCAGTCGTTTTATAAGCAACATGAAACCAAAAGACATGTTGATGAGCTTTTGGAAAAAGGAATTATAAAGCCTTCAGGGTCAGAGTATGCGTCGAAAGTTGTTTTTGTGAACAAAAAAGATGGAACATCTAGAATGTGTATTGATTTTCGAGAATAAAATAAACACGTTTTGAAAGATAATTTTCTTTTACCGATTATTGAAGAAAAAATAGAAAAATGATAAAATAAATCTTATTTCACAAAATTAGATTTAAAGACTGCATTTTATAACGTGAAAGTTCGTGCCAGTGATACAAAATACTTTCGTTACTCCACATAACCAGTATCAATTTTTAAAAGTTCCTTTTGAGTGCTGTGCATTCCGCTGATTTTTAAATTTAATTTTCAGTGAAACTTATTCGAAGCGGAAACGTTTTGCTCTATATGGACGATTTATTTATCGCCACATCTGATTTTGAATCTTACATTAAAATTTTGTCAGCTGTTTTTAAATTACTTAAAGAAAACTTAATTCTAAAGGCTTTTCACCTAATAATGATCACATAAAATCCGTTGTTTCATTTTCCAGCCCGAAAAACCAAAAAGGGTTACCTAGCTTTATTGGCTTAAATTCATATTTTCGTAAATTTACTCAAAATTTTAAAATCTTATGAATTAATGAAACATAATTCTGAAACGAACTGAAGTGTTTAGATATAGTGTATTCTATAAAACGTTTTAATGTTTACCTCCAAGGTATACCGTTTAAAATAGTAACTGATTCGGATACTTTTCATTTAATAAAAAGGATATTGTCCCACGAACTATGAGATGGGCTGTATTTTTGAAATCTTACAACTATACTATTGAACATATTGAACATAGTCTGCATCAAGTACGTGTCAATATATTTTGGTGCTCGAAAAAATTTTTTTATAAAAAATCAAACAGCAAATTGATCCTGATATCACGGAAGTTCGAAATATTATGGATGAATTAGAATCTCAATTCCAAGTAAATTATAGAAATTGATTTGATTATATTAAAGAGAAAAAATCTGGAAATTTATTATTTTATGTCCCTAGGTCTCTAATTCCTAACATTATTAGAATGTATCACGATAAGGTTGGTCACGTAGGTGGAGAAACAACTTTCAAGCTAATTTTAAGCACTAACTGGTATCCAAAGCTGTTTTCATGTGTCAAACAGTATATTTTAAATTGTTTAAGATGTATCACCAAATTATTGTAAAAGGGCGGGCGAACTTCACAATATTCCCTAGGGTAATATACCTTTCGTTACGGTTTACATTTACCATTACGGTCCACTAGAAAAATGTAGTAATAGAGATAAATTTATTTTTGCTATTATCGCTCGTTTTAAAAAATTTTCCCAAGTAAAACTGCTAACGCAAAAGAGGGTATAAAACATTTGAAAGAATAGTCTGACGCATATAAACGATTAATTTCGTGGTAATGTGTTTACTTGAAACGCCTTTCAGGAATTCCTGAAGAAAAGAAATGAAATTATACAGAATGTTTTAATTGCTACCGGTGGTGGTTATCTGAATCTCCAGAACTTTGCAAACAAAAATTAAAACAAGTAATTAACAACACAAACCGCTAAAGTACGGGGGAAGCTCCAAGTAAATTTCTTTTATATGCATATCAAAACGGATTTTGTCACGATTCACTAAATTCTATGCTAGAGACAATATATGAATGGATTGATCTTCAATCCTTAAGAGATAAAGCTTCACGAAATATCGAGAAGAGTCAAAATTATAACAAAATTAGATATGATAAATCAGATAGTAACGATAAACATTGATTTAGAATTTTATTCGCTACAAACTGACATTAAGAAAAAATACGTACAGGGTATAATTATCATAACCATAATTTGAAATCAGTTTGCCAATGTGTCAGCCTATAATTTGCTTAATTTTGATAAACAAATAGTTGAAGATTTGGCTACAGTTTTGTATGTGAAACATTTCTAAAGTTCAAAATTCGACAGAATATATTTTTCTAATAAAACTTTTATCATTTTAAAATATACAGTTCCTAGTATATTACTCTATATGTAACATAATTAACAAAATAAATGATTCTGATATATCGTTTTTTGGACAATATTTTATACGAGAACGAAATAGTGTGTATCATGACCACTCAAATTCTGTCGCTCCATTTAGGTGTAAAATTAGGTAACTAGGTACGCCTATGACGTCAGCTGATGTCATCAGGTCACCTAGGGCAACGTCAGTGCTACATCAAAATGATTGTTGGGGATAATGTACAAATATTTTCAAGCCAGCCCTGCGTTTAATGCGTTTTCGGATATAATTTAATATGCCAACTATCATTTCGATGTTTGCACGGGCTTTATTAACGGAAAATAACGTTCTCGGATGTTTATAATACCTTTTTGAGAACTTCAAGCAATAATGATGTGGACTAAATATTATTAAGCGAGTTAGCGTCCGTTCCTATCATAAAAATGTTAACAGGTAGTAAAAAATTATGAAATGTATCGTTTTATATTATATTTTATATTGAAGCGGAATTGCTGCCGACCATATTCATATTCTCACAGAAAATATTCACGTACAAGATATACATGAGGTCAATGATATATTCGATTTTAATTGGAATTGTCTTGTTGTGCTGGGAGGAGTATTACATGCTGCTTAATATCAAGGATCTAAGTTTTTCCCAGTACGCACCGTACCATTATTTGTGCGTTTACGTAAGTTCGTTATAACCCAACTCTCAATATTTTATATTTTGAAATGGAAACGGTTACTTTTAGATCACCTATTTTGTAAAATCTTAGAGTCTCCGATTAAATAAGCACACTAGCCAATCCTGTATCACATCCTTTTATTATGTCACTGAGAACCGTTACCAATGCAACCGCGCTATTATATCATTTTCTGAAGCCCAATTGCACTTTCCGTATATTATTAAAATCAATATTCCATTATCTGTTTGTAATAAACATTTTCAGAAATTTTAGGTTGTTAGTAAATCGAACTTCCTGACATTTTGCTATCAAACAGAGCAAGTTCGACGTATCAACAACCGATACAAGAAGAATGCTGAAGATTTGTAAATAGTGTTACAGAACCCTGTGGAAGTTTTTTTGAAAAATTTAGAGAGAAGTAGTAAGATACTAAATCAGAAAAATATTTATTATCATTATTTTTAGATAAGAGATTTCCCAAAGTCATCTTCCATAAATGAGAGAAATATTGTCTTTCCGTACGTGTATTTAATTGAATTTAAGAGAACCTCATCTAGAGACGTGATTTAAACTAAAAAGATAAATTTCAAAAATAAATATTCTCGTTCTAAAATTTGTCAGCCACACCTTCAAAATAGGTTACATCAAGTACTGGTTTGAAGAAATATAATATCCTTCATAACTAGCTTCAGATTATCAAATAACAAAGAAACGAATTACCTATATCTTTTTCTGAAACAATGCCACAGCGAGTTTTTTTAAGTCATACAAGAAATGCTCTGGCTTAAAAAGTGTAGCTCAGCCAATCCACATTGATAAAAAGAATTGGATCAGTCAGCGTAGAATGTAGCCGTCGAAATTCTAGTTATTTCTGAAAGAAATTGGGTGGACAGGACACTATAAAAAAGTTCACATTCATCTCAGCAAGACACACTATTTCCTTTGCCATAGGCCACACTGTCGAGAATATATCATCCAGATCATTCACGAAATTATTTGTTGCGACTGTTTTCAGAACATGTGCTGTCGGTTCGCCATCGTATGGAAGCATTCTGATCCTACAGCAATCGCACTATTCAAAAGTATTTGCTGGAGTTCCGACTCCGTTGACCTAAAGACGCAACAGAATATCCGGAAAGACGCCAACTATGTCGACAATCTTTTCAAGATGCAATTGGTCTCTGCATTTTTGTGCACAGTGATCTTCCACGTGGATTTCGTCAGGCTGAGGGAAATGAGCATCTCTATATTTTACGTCAGCCAGTATTTTCCGCACCTGGAAACCGCTGTCATCTTCGCGGAGATTACATTGTGGATATACGGGAGCCTGGGTATGATTCAGTGCCCATTTATGTTGTTCTACTACATTATACACACCGTGTATCAGCTCGAGATGTTTAATGCTTATATAACGAAAACCAGATCCGTAGGTTACAAGTTTTCAGCTGAGAGTGCAGCATTTCAGAAGCTGCAGCGGAAGAGGTTGATTGACCTCATTGATCGTCAACAAGAGATCAAACGGTAATTTTACAAATACGCAAACAGCAACATGAAATCTTGTCTTGGATCTTTCAGAATGACGGTGCTCTATCTAAATATTTTTTCCAACAGTGCCTTTTTTTACACCGTAGTAGCGATGCTTACGTCATTAGCGGTACTTTTTTACATATTTTACGTAAGTGTAATCTAAGGTGTCGAATGTTTGGGCGATAACGGTCTACATTTTCGATACCTTTTCAATTAAAAATTTGTTGGGGAAGCTCCTCGGCTTTGGGGTAAAAGGGAAAAGTAGTAACCGTTGATACCTTTACGAGTTGGGAAGTTTAGAAATGCATGTAAGCCGGTGTCATAAACTAATTTTTTTCTTAATAAAAGCAACTTAGAACAGCAAGCATTTTTAAACGAGACTTAGTCTGAAAATTTCCGTTAAGTGAAACTCAAGTTATAGAAAAGAAATATGCAACCGATTCAGAAAGGAGTAATAAAACATCAATAAGTATGCAAAGACTACGGAGTTACCCCGAGATTACTTACAACCACTTGTAAAATTCTTTCCTTTTATCGGGTGCAGATACCATCTGAGTTTCAGTCAATTGGATCAAAATCCCACGTTTGGCCTACTGTTGTTACTTTAACGACACTAAAATAATAAACAAAAAATAATAAAAAATCTAGACTAAAAGAACATGAAGAGCTTTAATACAACTATACATAAACTCACGAGCACTAGCCGAAACTAATCATGAAACCGGACATTAAATCTGATTCGATTAAAGTAAAATTCTTGTATTTAATCAAAGAAAAATCCTAAACAACCAACTCAGCAACTCAGCGAATCATTCATTCGACAATGTTCAGGTCCCTCCCCCAAACAGTATATTAGCAGGTACAGAGTAAAACGGATCGTTTCAGTTAAAGTGAAGTTAATTGACGAAACATCAGCTAGTTCAATTCATCAACAAACGACCCAAGAGGAATCCAGAAAGAAAATTTGTAAATAATAGTACTGAATCAGCGGGAATTTATTTTATCATTTCACCAAAATAGTCTGCTTGAAAGGTTAATAAACTTTTGTCCCTTCCATTTTCTTGAATGCATCTTAATACCCGTTGACACGCCTTCTATGAAAGCTTGGCGAACTTTTGCTCTGCCACATTTCCTTCACACATAACCTTCACTAATATATGTCTATCAAGATAATGGATTGTCTTCTGTTCTCTTCGGTACTTATCCTTACTATACTTTATACTTATACCGAACAACTTCATTGCTTTCCAGTAATATAACCAGGTAAGATGGAAATGAAAACAAAGCCTATTTATTGATTCGAATTTCGAGTAAAGATCAAAAATATTTGCTACAGCTTACACCGAAATTGGGCCAAATTATTACTCTACATTTTTCTAAAATAGAATACAAATTTTTAACGATATTTTAGGATGATAGTGAGCACTATCGTGCGCACATGTTGCTTCTAATCAGTTTATATACAACAGTTATGTTCGTGGTTATGAAATACGGCCAACGATATGAAGATGAGGTTAGTTAATTCGGGTTTCATTATTTAGAAAACCGTAACTTAACTTCAAATCCAGATTTTAATTTGAGCGCTATTTTTTGTAGTTTGAAAACGTTTTTCTGAACCTTTCTTCAGAACCTTGGTATGACTGGAATACTCTAAATCGAAAAATCTACATGACAATGTTAATGAAGTCGCAAAAACCCGAAACTGTGAGAATGGGCAAGTTGGCAGACCTGAATTGCGTCTTTGGGAAAAACGTAATTATTCAAACAAGAACGGTAATGTATAAATACACGCGTTGTTTTGCAGATTTTTCAAGGAATTTTCACTGTCGCCAATATGTTCAACAGTTTACAAAATTAGACCCCCACAAGGACCATCCGATCGAACAAAATAAAGAATTTCGTCATTTTTGATGTGTATAATGAAAAATATACCTCTTATATATAAAAATAAATATACGTATGACCTAAAAATCAACCGGGGGCAGATCTGGAGGCGTTTTGGTTCTTCGTCCTAGAAGAGGCCTGGTCAAGCCCCTTTCCAGATCCCGATCTCTTCCTTGTTTAATAGCCCGGTGTCGCAATGACCCTTCGAAAGGAATATTCTTATGAGGCGAGTGATTTTCGCGGTAACCGCTACTCCATAGAAGCATTACGACAACCAGGAGCACTATAACGCCGAAAGCCACGCCCACGTAGACTTTAAATAGGTTCGTGTCACTATACTGTAAAGAAATTTAATGAAAATACAGATAACGATGTATAGAGTTTTAACTATAAGCTTAAAGTGACATCATCGATTGCAATTGTTATTCCTAACTATTTGGATTAGTATGCAATAAAACGGCGAGGTTTATTTTCTTACCTCCATTTAAGTTGATTAGAACTATTCATAACGTCAAGATGTGGGTCCCTATTCTTATGCATAGTTGACGTTTTAGGTGTAGATTAAGCAGAAGGTTTTGGTGGCTTCAAGTTTTCTAAACAAAAATCACACCTGGTTGTTGTTCTGGGGCGCAAAATCTATAATCTGAGAGGTAAAATCGATGTCATTCTAGTTCAAGCACCTCACAAATATTGTTGTTCTTCTTGCAACCGATTCCATAGTTGAATCATGGTCGGCTAGTAGACCGGTTATTAGCGTTTTAATTACTGCATCTCCACCACGTTCCGTTTTGTACTCACGTTTCCTCTAGATTATCAATGGTACTAGAGGTATTTTTCTTGAATTTATTGAATAGTCGAAGTACTTCTTCGTTCGTTATTCTATTCACCCGGTTAAATCTCAAGATTCTCTTGTACATCCATCCTGTATCAAATGCTTTAGTAGAGCTTCTCTTGACGTCTCTGCTTCAACAGTGTAGGATGCGTCTTGATGGTATTCTCCGCCATTATTTTTAGGGTTTCCGTATACGACTAGTCTGATGCTGTAACCTTATAGTTTTTAGCTAATACGATATTGCTTTTTCCGCTTCTTTGCGAGTCATCCGGACATCCGCTTTCAACATCCGTTATATTCAAATGGTTATTATCGTCGTAAAACCGTTTGGTCATATATTCTTGCCATCTCTCCAATTGTTTTTGTTCAAAATCCTGTTTTCCTGTCTATCCTCAAGATCGTTTTGTATCCTTTAAGCGTTTTATGTAAATAAAATTGTAATATGTATGTAACAATGTATATTGTCCTTATGTTGCCAGTCTAACAACGATCCTTAATTATACTATCAATGCGGTTAATTTTATTCACTTTACGGCACTTTAAACTTAATGTAAAAACTGCGTACCGGGTGTTTCAAATTCGCTTCTCACCATTGCGATATCTGAGACGTTATTTTTAAAATTTTATTTTATAACAAGGTACCCTAACATGATGAACTAACTAATTATCTCTTAGCTTCAAAAGAGTAAGTAAGTAGAATAAGTACATTTCTAATTAAAAGAAAAAAAAAATAGTTTGAGCAAAAAACTCTTACTGCTTCATTCCTAACCGAATTGAATGACAAATCTGTGAACACAAATATAATTTGTACTATATCTAGACCCATGGAACAAAGGAGGCGTTCTAGTTATTACCAGCCTAGTATTAAAAGATAATTTTTCTAATAGTTTTGGACACTCTACTCTGTTACTAATAATATTATCCAAAAAAATCTCACTGCATACTATTCGCCTAATAAATAATTTCAACATATGATAGAAGTCTTGCTTGCTTCATACGATACACCTAGTAGATTGCAGTTATATGTAAAGTCCATGTGAAAAATAATCTTTTTTTGAATGTTCTAAATCTGTTTACATACTTGTTATATTGAGAACTCCAAACTGAAGATGAGACTGCACATAGACGTTATAGATTATGATCAGCGACTTAGCATCTTGAAATTCTTTACTAACCGTTAAAATTAAACCCAAGTCTTTATATGCTTTTTTCACTATGTTTTCAATATGAACTTAAAATTTCAGTTTGGTGTATATAGTTATTCCAAGATCCTTGATATGCTGCCCTTTTTTAATACTTACACAATTGAATTTATAATCCAATGCTATAGTATGTTTTAGTTTACTGAACTTAAGATAGTAATATCAACATAACTGTCAACATTGTCCGCTATGAATATTAGCAGAGGTCCCAAGTGCAATCCCTGGGGTATTCTGGATGATTTAACTATTTAACCCTACATAACTAGAACTAGTATGACTGAAGAATTTTGTAAAGGCAACCGTGCACAAAGAAAAGTTGTGCTAACATGGTATGAACTTAAAATTTCAGTTTGATGTCTATAGTTATTCCAAGATCCCTGATATCCTGCCTTTTTTTGATACTTACACAATTGAATTTATAATCCAATGCTGTAGTATGTCTTAGTTACTGAACTTAAGATAGTAACAGCAACATAACAGTCAACATTGTCCGCTATGATTATTAGCACAGGTCCCAAGTGCGATCCCCGAGGTATACCAGATAATTTAAACAAAACTTGAACTAGTACACAAAGAAAAGTTTTGTTAACATGGTAGGAAGATGTACTTTATTTGACGCCTCACACACATCCTGAACATAAAGTGAGAGATTAGTAGCGTGCTTAATTTTAGAAAATAGCTCCTTTGGTATAATTGCCTCAAACATTTTGCTTGGAATAGAAAGAATTGAGATGGGACGATAGTTACTAACACTCTTGTGAGTAGGTACATTGCATATTTCCAAATAGTCGGGAAGTTTCCTTCTGATAAACTTTTAACATTAATTTAAAATAGCGACATGAGCTGAGATTCCGCACAAGATTTAAAAAAGATCAGGGCCGATTTGCCCGTCCCAGTACCTTGTATAACAGTACTTTGCCTTTCGCCATATCACTGTGAATTAAACCCCATAGAACTGGTATGGCGAAAATAAAAGTGTTTGTAGCAAGGTATAACATTACAACATTAAAATGAGGGACGTTGAAACTTTCTTACGAGAGGGCATAAAGGGAAGAAAAATGAAGCGCATCGAACATGTGATAGAAATAACAAATAAAAGACTGTAGAAAATTTACAAATGAAGTGGTATTGTAAATAGTATATAATAATAATAGCTTTTACAATTTATCTATTCGAGATCCATACAGTGGCGGCTCTAAGATTGCAGGTACTGAGAAACTGTGAAACTTAAATGCCGCTAACATATGGCAGTATCAGGCTGGAATCAAGATGCTATGCTTCCACACACCACACAAATAGTCCGATCCAAAAGAGACCGGTTTTCTACCACTGTTATCAATGCGATATTGATATCTGTTCATCAGAACCTCAACAAAGGGTACTCGGTACACACCTATATTTTTCAGTAGTTGACCGGCTATTCAAATCCTTGGCGCCACTGTCAGGAAGTTGGGACCTCATTTTAGAAGGGTTGTGTCTCCAGGAGTTAATTTATTTATTAAATTTATGTTTGAAACTTGAGTACACTGTAGATTCTGTTCTTGGAAATAGAGTGGAAATTAATGAAGAAATTGCAATGACATTTCAGCATCGCCCAACTCAACAGCTATTCTACTTAATTGAAATTTTCACTAGTTGAAAAATCTATGCACTACCGATACACTTGCAAATCATTCTGCTGGTGGAGTAGATCAAGAAATATACAATGTGGGCCAACCAGCTTGCATAGTTCATAAAATACGTTAAAAATATTGTCTGTAGCCGTTTTTGGGTTATCTCCAAAACGTCCACTTCTTAAATTTGAGGTGGGCGCAGAAGTTGGCAAGCTATAAGTATATTCTCTAATTTCAGACGTATCTTACGATTTCCAAAATAATAATGTTGAGATTCTCATTTGAAACACTTGGTACATTTTATGCTGCATACCAACACAACGTTATTGAAACAAACTTACCTACCAGCATGCGTAGACACATGGCGTCCTCCACTGGTGAAGAGCATTGAAGACACAATTCCGATGCTCGCTCGGGTTGATACTGTCCGGCCGGGCAACTTTTGCAGAATGCTTCGTCTGCGGCACTGAAGGTGTGCTTTGGGCATACCACTGCCAAAGCATAAAAATGGTATTTTCTCCATTATTAAGCGACAAATCTGTGTTTAGACTTACCGCATACTCTTTGCTTGAGACTTTCCAATCCGTATCCACCTAGGCAGCTGACGGCCACTTTTGGAGGTTTTGTGCTGACCGGGCTTTTGGGGTTTCTCGAAAAATACGGAACGAATTCGATCGCACTTGTCGAAGGCAATTTCGAATACACTGTAGTATTAGTCAATTAAAGTGTTACATTTTACAACCAAAAATGTTCTGCTTACCGGGTATATGTTGAATAATCTCCGCATTTTTGTAGACAAGACCGACGATATTAGCGTAAAACCGGAGGGCACAATTGATGTCACAATTCCGCAATTCATGCAACGAGTTCACGAAATGCCCGTCCGGTTTTATTTTAACCGAAATTGACACGTTGTAAATGTTGTCATTTTCCTTAAAAAAAAAGGGAAAATTAAACTAAATCACAAAAAAAATCTGTAAATCGTTAAACGTCCCCAAAATATATCACATTTTTCAAAAAATACTCGAATATTCCTCGAAATTTTAAGCTTCAATCCAATGATTTTGTACGTCTCCAGCAATATTTTGTATTAAAAGAAGATTAAATATGTAAAAATGTAAAAATATCAAAATCTTGCTTAATCCAAAAAATATCTGTCAGCACCTAACTTAAACTTGACCTGCGAACATCTCTTTCCAAATAAAATTGGGAATATGTCAGAAACGATAAGAATTATAATATAAATTTAAAAAAATAAAAAACGCTGAAACACGCCACGGGTCGTCCATGCAAGCTGCTGACTAATGAGGAAGATTGTGTGTGTACTGAACCAACTTGTTGATGATTCATTAACGAGCTGCCTTGGGCAAGCTGCAACTCCAAGGAGTTTTTGACAAAATTATGGATGTCTTAGACAGTGCATTAACAGAAAAAGTCTCCAATTAAAATGTGACAGACAGGTAGATGACCCTGGTTGTGGGGCATTTACAACCGCGGCTCAAAGGACAAGGGAAAAGTAATATACGAGTGGTGTTCAAAATTATTTTAAATATATATAAAAATATATTTTTTTTTAATGAGTGTTAGTTAAGATAAAATAGGATTTCAAAATAAAGGATTTTGATCTTTTTATTTGTTCGCCTTCGCCTTCATGAGGTGATCACAAAAAAAATATCAAGTGTAAAATTAACAAAAATAGTATTTATAGACCATATTCCTGCGTCAGACAGAGTGGTAGACCAAAACCAAAGCCATGGTTCAATTAGAGACGAACCTTCAGAAAGAAATCAGTGAAAAAAAAAAGAAATTTTAAAATGGACCCAAACAACCTGTATATTTATAATTATTCCTACCATACAGAAAACTGCGAACCAGAGCATTATTTTCACGAAAACCTTTACGATACCTCACCAGACGAAACATCTCCAGGCACGATTTCTGAAATAAATTCTCAAATTCAAACCCTGACTTTAGACAACATAGATCCCAATCTACAGTTTCCGGCACAGAACTTCTGTTAAAGCCCCTTCTAATGGTAAATTAAAATAAAATTACACTATATTTTTGACGCTTTACAAAAATTCAAATATAAAGAAATATGACAAATACAAAACATATAAGAAAATATAACAAATCAAAAACTTTTCATTAAATACCACACTTATTCCCTTCGCGATCTTGATATCCAACTTGATGGAATTTTCGGTTTAGATATTCTTGATCACTATCAATGTATAATCGATTTAAAGATTAAAACACTTATAACGAATTTAAAAACAATGCCTTTACATAAAGTAGAACATGAATCTGTTTTAAATTGGTTAAGGCTTTCGCGGCCCGTTGATAAGCTATTATCTTCATTCGGGTTTAAAGGCCGTCGTCGATTGGAATTACTTCCTAACGTTTCGCTAGCACGAGTGGCGAGCTTCTTCAGAGGTCCTTCCATCTCCGATGTTGGACGTAGACTGACGATTTCTCCTGCGCAGGTTGTATTTATGCCGATTGGTGGAGGGCGGGGCTTGTTCCGCTTCGGTTGGTCTCGGGATATCGATCGGTACTGCTCGGGCGTTCCTAAGGATCGGGTTCCAGATTTGGTTGAGTCTAAGGGTCTCCTCCTTTCGGTTGAAATTGTGTGGGTGTTTTTGAATCTCAATGGCTTCCCTGACTAGTCTGTTGTGATAGCCGTTGACCGATGCTAGTAACTTACAGCTCTCAAAGTGTATCCTGTGTTCCCCACTACCCAGTGCGTGTTCAGCCACTGCAGACTTCTCTGTATGTCCTAGCCTGCAGCTTGCTTTATGCTCCTTAAGTCTCGTTCCCATTGATCTCTTGGTAGTTCCGATGTAGACCTTTCCGCATGAACACGGAATGCAGTAGACTCCCGCAGCTGAAAGTGAGCCCCTCTTGTCCTTCGCTGACCTGATGGTCTGCTAGATCTTCTTTGTAGGCTTAAAGATTGTTTTGATGTCGTGTCTTTTCGATACTCTGCCAATCCTGTCGGTGACACTCGGAATATACGGCAGATATGCGTGGGAGGTGGAGGGTCGTTGTTCGGTATCCCGTGATCTTGATGATCTTGAGTTCATTGATCTCTCGATCTCCCTCTTACTGTAGCCATTTGCCTCGAACGCAGTTTTTAGGTGTTCAAGTTCCATCTGGAGGTTCTCCGGTTCGCAAATCCTTCGGGCTCGTTCTGTCAGGGTTCTGATAACCCCATACTTTTGACTTGGGTGATGGTTGGATAGAGCATGCAGGTATCTGTCCGTATGGGTTGGTTTTCTGTAAACTGTGTGGCCCAGCTTCTTACCTCGCTTCCTCACTAGTACGTCCAAGAATGCAAGTTGTTGGTCATTTTCAGTCTCCATAGTAAACTGGATGCTGGGATGCTGACTGTTGAGATGCTGCAGAAAGTTGTTGAGCTTGTCCATACCATGTTTCCAAATCACGAAGGTGTCATCCACGTACCGGAACCATGTTGCTGGCTTGTACTCTGAGGTCTCGATCGCTTTTTCCTCAAAGTGTTCCATAAATAAGTTGGCTATAACCGGGCTTAGTGGGCTTCCCATTGCCACTCCGTCCACCTGTTCGTAGAAGTTTCCCTTCCACACGAAATAGCTACCGGTCAGACAGACTTCAAAAAGTTTGCAAACTGAGGTTGCCTAATGCTTTAGTTAAAGTAAATAACAAAGACGAATTTTTAACTACCATTATTAACGCTTATGCAAACTCAAAAGCTATAGACTTTTCAAATTTATCTATCGCACCTTTTGACAACAATAAATAATGCTTTAAATTTAAATTCCCAAACGTATTGATAGGTGCGGTAGAGTTCAATCCCAGTTACGGACCGACCATTTAAAAAAAAATAATAATTACGCAATTATGTCTTGATTTTTCTGATATTTATAAGGAGAACATTTAAGTTTTACTAACGAAATTAAATATACTACTTACGCGAACAACAGTAGACCGATTTTTAAAGTCGTATAGGTACCCACATGTCCACAAACAAGAGGTATAGTATAATAAAGTCACAAATTAACAAAATACTCGAACAAGGAATCATTCGACCCATCACTTCTACATGGTTTCCCTGTTTGAGTTGTCCCAAAAAAATTGGATGCTTTCATGAAACAAAAATGGCGCTTAGTCATCGACTATCGCAAACTAAACGAGGTCTCTGTCAACTATAAATACTCCCTTCCCAATACTTCCGATCTCGTGGACCAGTTAGGCAAGATATCAGTATTTCACTACTATGGACCTAGTCTCTGGATTTCACCAAATTGGAATTAATCCCAAGAACGTTGCTAAAACTGTATTATCGGTAGAAAATGGTCATTTTGAATTTGACAGTTAACTCCTGGGACTAAAACATTCTGCATCCACTTTCCAATGCCTCATGGACAATATTCTCCTAGTTCTTCAAAACAAACGATGTCTAGTACGCTTCCATACACGAACATGTGCAAAGGTTTGATGTGTTCAAGCGCCTTCGTGGTGCAAACCTCAAACCTGACAAGTATGAGTCAAACCCATTCCCGAAAAAATAAACACTATTCAAAAAATTTCATAATCAAAATCACTGAAAGACGTTTGATCCTGAATTTCGCTTGAATCTCAAAACTTTTAACTAGACTTCTTCAAACAGGCACACCTTTCGTAAACAATTTAAAATGCAAAAACTCATTTAACGAACTTAAAAACACTCATTTATCGAAATTTCGAAGAAACTTTTTTCCTAACCAAAGACGCCAGTGCATTTGCTGTTGATGCAGTTCCTTCACAAGGTCCTATTGGAAAAAACCTCTCCATATCATACTCCTCTAAAACTCAGTGCAGAGACAAAATATTCAACTATAGAACTGGAATTTGTTGCCATGGTATGGGCAGTCCATTTCCGCCCTTATCTCCTCGGAACAAAATTTACTGTCGTTACTGATGATCTTTCTTTAACCTGGTTATTTTCAATAAATGATCCTGGTACGACTATACCATTCTGCATAAGAACGGTAAAAAAAGACTCTCTATCCCGTTTTAAACTTTAAACAGATTTGAGATTGTGTCGATCTCCAAAATAAATTTTCTATCTTTGTATCTAATAACAATGACATTCACCACAGATCATCCAAGTAAGGAAGTAAGGAAGGAATCATTCACGACGACGATTCTAACGATTCAGGCAACAATGACGACAAAGCACAAGCTACCGAAGAATACAACAACTTTGCACATCTTCATAAAACACCTCCCACAAAGATATTCACTTTCTTTTAGCAAACAAAATGATTGATCGATGCTTTTCATAACAGATGTACAGACGATATTTTTAAAGAAGATATAAATTATATATTTAACGAAATTACCATTTTTTCTAGGAAAACCGTCGAAGGTAGAAAATATTATATAATCCCTCTTCCATAAGACGACAATGAAACGGTAGTTCAACACTTATTCTATATTTTATTCACAGCAAAAAATAAATTCCACCTTTGAAAACTATATTGGATTGAAAAGAATTTACAACTTCCGATATTTGGAACACTTAAGCGAATAAAACCAAAATATAAATGACCAACCCTGACTAAAGATGTCGAAAATTTTATTAAAAAGTGCAAAATCTGTCAGAAAATCAAAATCTACCGTAAAAACTTCAGCACACTATTAGTTATCAGAGGAACTCCTAAAACTCCTTTGGAGAGCATTAACCTCAATCTTTACGAATTCCCAGTTCGCAATTAGGTCCTTACCATACGAGATCACCTCTACTTCCCAGATATTGGAACTCCTCTCCGAATACATTGGGACCATGGCCGAGAATTTGTCTTTTTCTTATGTACGATATAAAACTCACTTTCTCCAGCGTTAGCGAATGGATCACTAGAATGATTAAACGACACACTAACAGGAATGACCCGAGCTTATAAGGTCGAAAAATCCAAAATTCATGCTCTTCCGGAGACAATCATCTTCTACAAGAACACAAAAAATAACACGCATGGTTTCTTCCCTTATGAGCTAACATACTTCTCGTAGATCTCAAAAAATCCTACAAAAAACGAAGAAACAATTCACCAAATACACCCGAGACGTAAATGATCACGTGCAGCATTATTATAGAGTCCCACGTACCAGCACTGATCAATGAAAACAATAATCCAAAATTAGGTTTGATCAAGCTGTATCGAGAAATGTCGCTATATATAATGTCGGCGAAAAAGTTAAAGTTTATGTTAAGCTAACTCAAATTACTGATAAACGTCAGAATAAATTTATTGATCCCTATGAAACTCTTGAAATATTTTGAGACGTTAGCAACTGTCAAACATTTAGCCACTGAAGAAATTTCTACAAGCTTAAACCTTATTACAATCACACCCCAATTCCTCATTATTCCAGCAAATAAAACAATAGGCATCTTCTAACACGAAGAAAGGAATTTAAGAGTGCCCAACAACAAATGGACACTGCTAGTATATAAGGAACTAGAACATCTCCCAGAAGCTATACGACATAAAAATAAAATACCCTCCTCTCTCACAGAAATGCTAGACAAAAAGTATTCAAACTCATTTTAGCCACTTAACTAGAATTACTGACTCAGTCAAAGAGAAATTATCAGAAGTTTTTATCGACACTGAAAATTATAATACTAAAATAAAGTTGTTTTCGAATTATGGGTACCATTATTAGAACCCGAAACCTACACATTGTATCGAATTTGACCTATTCCAATTTTGGACAATCGAACTATTTCATATAATTCCAACAACAATAAAATACATTGCGCGTGATGACGATTCTTTACTCTATGTACTGCCTGAAGATCTGAGAAGCTGCAAACAAATTCGCGGTAAAGAAAGAATCTGCTTCAACCTAATGCAGTATCCCATCGATAGAGCACAGTTGCCGGTTACCTCTCAATCGCCTTTAATTATTGGTAATTACCGTATCCAATTCATTAAAATTCCCATTTAAATGTGGAAAAGGAGACCTCGTAGCACAAACGTTATACACAAATTCTCTACATAAACTTATGATCGCTATTCTCACATTCCAGAGAAATTTCAGCCTGCAGGGTTGAAACCCCTGAAACTAAGTAAGACCGACAGCGACAACCTTAACGTGACCGAACACAAATTGCAGGAATATTTAAAAAATTAGAAAAACTACTTCATCAACCAAGTCTTCAGAAAGATTCTCACTGATTGACAATAATTGCAATTATTCTCATCATCTTTACTCCGAAGCCAAGACCCCTGCTTCCGTGCAACTTAAATCGCTAACTCTGAAAAGACGGAATAGTATCCACGCAGAAGTAACTACCCGGGAAGATACCTTTACGAAAAGCTGCAGCACTCAATGGAGAGCTGTTATATTCGGAAATCCTGTTGCCCACACGGGTTAATTGCGCAAGAGTGCAACCGTTGCGAAAATGCAGTGTCAATGTAGCAACATCCGCAGGCGTCGACCCTGTCAGCGCTAGCATAAAACTACTATAAATTCTATTTTGTTGTATGTTGTTGTTATGAATATTTTCATTTTAATTTTGATTTTAATTTAACAATTTTTTTTTCAAGTTATTTTTGAAATATAAAATATATGAATGATCCAAGGTTCTCTGACGGTTTTCTTCACAGATCGCAGAAATTTGTCTATACAACCTTGCTTTAGGAAAATTCAGTTGAATAACTCACTCTCGATATACAACGGGGCCTTGCCACGTCCACGAAGCATGCTTGATTTGCAGAGCCGCAAAGAGCGGGCGCCATCACCTTCGGAAGATACGAATAGAGGATGTCACCGTCTTTAAGGTCACAGGAAACGTTGACCACATAAAAAACGTTCATGCGGACATCGTAGACGGGAAAGGCAACCACTTCCAGCTCATGCGAATGAACTTTAACCGCGTCGTCTTTATCCACTTTGGAGCACGTGTAAATGCCGGCATTTTTCACTGCGACTTCATGCAACGTTAACAAGTTACCCGTTTCGGGCAACTCCTCGCCTGAAACATAATATGTCGTAAAATATAAATGGAAAATTTTGGAAATAATTTTGGCGAATAAGTTTCTTGTGGTGGATTTGTGGATTTTATATATAAAAAAAAACATTTTGTTCTATAATACGCTTTCCTTGCTTTAACTAAACCGTGATAAATTGCAAGAAACACATCCAGGGCATTTTTTCTGCTTGAAAAATATTGCAAACTATTACATAGACTGGGTGACCCAGCGATAGAGTAAAGGAAGTTTTTACCACTGCGGCACTACTAGTGTTAAAATAATATATGCCATAATAACAGATAGTGGATCGTCTAGAGACTAGCTGGTTAGTATGCAAACTATCAATTTGAGTAATGTATAGATTTTTGTTATAGCTTTTATATTAACTATGTATTTTAGATAGTTTTGGTTTGTTGGTTTTATTTTTCTCCATTAAACAGTTAAACAGGAATAAGCTAAGGCTGTCCCCCTGTCTGATGCCTTCTAATGTCGATGTGCTATTTGTGTATTTCCTTTCATTATGTTGTTGTGGGTTAGTTGTCTATAATTTTTGAATATAGGGACAGTCATGATTTTGTGTCATTCTGTACGTATTTTCGATGTTTAATATTTTTAGCTATTTCGCCAACGCAGGTCCGCCATTTTTCAATAGTTCGTTTCGGATGCTTTTCTGTTTTTCATTTTTTTTTTTAATTTTTGTCATTATCTCGTTGAGTGATATTTAATGACTTGTCTTATAGTTTTCCATGTTTACAATTTGTTCGTTGTTATAAGGTCCCTTTCCCCAGATATCTTTGGCAACTGCTAGATACCTAAAATTATCTAAACAGGGAATCCTATACTCTATCAAAACAAATAACCTCCGTTCTATGTAACTTGGTGGTCTTTCTTTCATGATAAATGAGTAAAAGTTAGTTCGAACTGTGAATATCTTATTAATAAAGGATATTATTGTTATTGTTATTGACTTCTACAACTGTTCGAGTTGCCTAGTTTAGTGGTTAATTTGATGTTTAACATAACCTGAGTCAGACTGAGATATAATGTTAAGTTAGTTCTGTTCTAAAATGCTTTCAATTTTTTTTTTCAAAACTTTGATAAAGGTAAAAATGGTTAAAATGTTGAAATTGTTGAATATCCAGTTAACGACCTGGTTAGAGGACAAGGTGAATAATTTTTCTTTAAAGCGAATCTTAAAAGGATTAAAGAGATAGGACTTTGTAATAGTAGCCATTCATAAAGTAGGCGCAGAATTTATTATTGTTAAGAAGAATTCGGATAAGGTATGTGTGTGCGGAACAGATTTTTGATATCATAAATGAAGCTAGGCAAACAACAGAATATAGGCACACAAAAGTGACTTTAAAACAAATCAAAACAAAATATTTTAATGTTACACTTAAGTGTATGTTACATAATGATGATGGAAAAGGATAAAGGAAATCATCAATTTGAAATTTGAAAACAGAAACTGTTATTAATTGAAGATGTGAAGGATATAGAGTTACATCAGGGGTTAAAAGATGTATCATCATAAAAAGGTAAATGTGTAAGTTCTGGATTCACGTGCAATAGCAAATACCACCAAAGCAAATACTAGGTTAATAAATAGTTGTATTTATATGTTTTTTATTATAACATTTTTGATAAAAACCATTTGCCCCTAAAAATATGTTGTTCTTCTTTTATTTAGAAAAAATCTCAAGTTGTTTAACAACCAAAAACCAATAATCAACAACAAATTTGTTTTTATACTTTATACTGAGATGTTTGATAATAGTAACCATATTAACCCAGTGTGTATATAAAACAATTGAATAGCACTTCCGGTTTGCCTGATATCAAATGAAATGGCGCATATGCTTTTCCATTTTTGTATTCTTACGGTAAATCCAAGTAGAAAATGCTCTTTATCTTTTTTCGATAGCTATAATGGATTTGTAAATAATAGCTTTCCAAATTTCAATATGGCATGTTTTCTCTTTCAATTTAAATTGGTAAAAGTAAAAAAAAAACTTTCGCTATGACCGGAAGTGAGCTGAATTTCCCCAATTTCCAAATTCATATATTAAAAGAAGATATCCGATGTAATTGCGAACTCGAAAATCTGTTTTTGCAATAACCAGTCACCTTGATAACCTTACATATTAATAAATAAATAAGCGAATGTGATTAAAGTAACCTGCGCGATAAAATATAATTATATAAACATTTCGAAAGTTCATGTTGCTACCAAGGAATTCGGACACCCCATATAATCCAAAAAGGAATAATCTAAAAATTCACATAAATATAAATAAGTTCACCTTACGTGAAACATCCGATACAGGAGGTTTGTTTAAAAAAAAAGTAGTTTTGTATCTTCGAGAATGAAGCAATCGATCTGTAAATTTTGGACACCCTGAATGTGAAACCTTATGCACATTGAATAAGGGGAAAACCCCAACCTTCAGTTCCGTCTGACGTCTTAAACTTCCAGTGAAGTCCATGGTCGCTGTGAATTAGCCTGTCTACCTTTCCCCGACACGGAATTTCAACAGTGGATCCCGGCAAGGCGAAGATATTTTTATCTACAAAAATAACGCCCGTTGTTGCACCAACAATAAATCCATTCGTAACACTCCATTTCACCTGAGGTTTCGAGTTTGTATCCGTCTTCGAAAAGGGTCTCCATGTTCTGGTACTCCACCACTTCCGAACCGCTCCGGTTCTGCAAATAAATGAGACTTCTTCGTGGCCTTTTCATCGGTTTGATCATGGTATCAATTAGCAATCCTTTTTTCGGTCTGACAAACTTGGAGCAGTGAAAGATATCGAATTTTGGTGATTCCTTGCGGTTTGCTTTATGTAACAAGGAGCTCAAGTGGTCTTCCATGTTGCACAAACAATTATTGTTGGCTTCAAAATCTTCTTTATCGCAAGATTCAGTCGGGAATCCAACCCACAAAGCGGACCTGTTCCGCTTAGGCAAATCGACGGAGATATTGCGTAAATCCACGTATTCCAAGTCGATATTAGAAGCCGATTTATTGGCAATTTTCTCCAAAACGGTTTCGTTGATTTTTCCTAATTTTCGCCCAGAATCATTTACAACTATTACTAAGGGCTTAGCCGTGATTTGTTCGGTTGTAATTAGCTTTTCGTCTTTAATGGTAGGACCGCGCATAAATTTCTTTTTGTGTTCCTTGCGAGTAGGCCTCTTTACAACAACGGCTTCCGTTACCTGTCTCATTATGAAAGAATCATCGTCGACTGACGGGAGACTTTTAGTATAGTCCATTGCAGAAGTTGAAAATTCATCATATGATGGTTCCTCTGCACTTTCGCAACTTTCATCTTCTTCGGTTTCTGTAGTCTCATATTCTTCCTCCGTTTGCTCTTCGAAAGATTCGTCTTCTTCCAATTCTTTCTCTTCTTCTTCCGTACTAAGTTCTTCCTCGCTTTCGTCGGTATCTTCTTTCTCTTCAAATTCTAATTCTTCACTTTCAGAATACTCCCCCACCACGGATTCCAAATGCGTGGCCTCATCTTCAGCTTCCCCGAATTTAGTGATCGCTGTTTCTGCCACGCCTACACTGTCAGTAACTATTGCTTCAGTATCTAACTCTTCCTGAATTTCACTATCTAGAATGTCACCACTATAGGTAGTATCCCTGCGGGCTATTTCGGTCTCAAAATGTCTCTCTTCGCCCATATCTTCTTCACTTACAACTGTTCGCTCTGTGTCTACCGTATGTGATGTTTTCTCTGTTACTTTACCAACTAGACTAGTGTGTGTTGCCTCCTTTGCAGTTTCTTTAATTTCTTTGTCTTCTATCTCTATTTGTGTGGCAAGTGATGATAACGCATTTTCATCACTAGTCGTGAGCACGAATTCGTCATTACAAATGGCACATTTAGTAGAGACAAAGTCATAGAAATCCTTTTTGGAAGCCATTCCAGTAACATCGTGCATTTTGTGCGATTCACTGGTTTCTGAAATTTGTAATTCGGCTACTTCACTCGTTATTGCACCATAGCGGTCAATTTCAGTAGGTGTTTTGGGTTTTGTCTCGACATCTGACGTTTCTGAAATTTCAGAAATCATAATAATATTGTATCTATGGTAATATAGCTTAAACTTTTTATTCATTCAAGTATGGCATTAGTTAGAAACTACGCACCTTTGAACTTCTATTTATGGTCAATGCACTTTTTCATTTAGTTTAACATCATTGAAATGATAAGTTTTTATTAAAAGTTTTAAAAAAAAATTATAAATTTAGTTTTCAGTTTTTCGGAAAGATAATGTTTCGTTGGAGCCTTGAATCGGCCTTTGTAGTTTAGAATGCTGATTCAAACGTTAATATTGTGAGATACTTACCTGGAAGATAATGTTTGGTCGATGAAGTCACATCTTTTCCATAGTATAAAACCTGATAATCGGTAGGTTCAGTAAACATGGCATATTCAGTTTGTTCTGTTTCTGTAATTGATGTTTCAAAAATTGTGGACGAGACAATCTCATCCATTACCCATGGAAAACCTCCCTTTTCTATATCGGTGATTCGTTTTTGAAATCTTGTGGATGTTTCAAAAGTTGCCTCGTGATCTTTAAATACATCGATCTTAAGTGAAACAGAGGCAGATTCCGGTTCTACTGCTGTTGTTTTGTTAGCCAAGGTTGTAGTTTTTTCTATGTCGCTGGACGTTTGATTATACATTTCCACGATCTTTTCCATTATATCAATAGTTTCCGAGGTTTCTTGTATTTCCAGTGTCTTCGGTTCCACTGTATCCAAAGACACAGTTTCTTTAATTTCCAAAAACTCAACTTTCCCTTCGAATGGCCATTTTATATCTTCCACCACCTGATCAACTGCTAAATATGGAGTTCCTGCTGTATATTGCACCTCTTCTAATATCTTTATATCTTTTGCTTCCCAAGTGGTTGCTTTTACAGATGTCGTTATCCTTTCTTCAATTTTTTCTGGTATTCCGAAAGGTGTACTTTCTGTTGCCAATTCAAGTTTTGTAGGTGCTTTTGAAAGTTCCGTTTCTCTTTGTTCTGTTGTTGAAACAGTACTTTTAGTCGATACTGTACTTTCAATCTTTGTAAGAATCTCCAACGTGTCAGTTTGTTCTTTCATTTCTAATGATAAGGTTTCATATATATCAATGATACCTACTTCGCTTACATTATCGGTCAATTCTTCAAATTCAGTAACATTGATAAAAGACGGTGTTTCAATGATTTCAATGTCGGATTTTTCCTTTTCACTCAGGGTTAACCCAATTTCTGGTAGATTTGTATCACTTGCTTCGCTTGGTTCTGATTTTGGTGTCGTTTCTCTTGAACTAATCTTCTCTAATAGGGCATCTGTGTCTGTAACTGATCGTAGCGTTTCCTGTTCGGCGGTATCTACTTCATATATTCTTTCAACTTCGGATGATTCCATTTCCGTTGACTTTGTTACTAGAAAATCTTCGGTAAGTTCAAATGCTTTTCTCGCACTTTCAAGTTCTGATAAACCAGCTTTTGGCAATACTGAAGTTTCTTCTTTTTCAACGGCGATTGCTGGAAATGTCTCTATTTCAGTTGACCGCGATGTAGGACAAAATTCACACGACGGCGTCTGCAAATTGATATGGATAAAATCTTTTTGTTCGTGGACTTGAATCTTTGCTGCATAGTCATCAACTGCTTTTTCAACTTTGGGCTCCGAAGTTGCTTTTTCTAACGCTACGCTCACTTGCTTCGGACAAAATTGACAAGGTGTCGACTGTTTGTTAAGACCAAACAGATCATGATCGTGGATGGTTTCCGTGCTTGGTTTACCTTCAGAAACATATGCTTGTAATATTTCTTTGGGTTTAGTTACAAAAATATCTAGAGTGGTTTCGGCTTTTTTATAGTACCAATCATCAAGCTGTTCCAAACTTTTTGATATGAGTTGTGCCAGTTCTGGATCTATTGTTGTGTGGGATGTTATTAATTTCACATCTTTGGACGTTAATTCTACGGTTGCAATTTTTTCAACTTCGGCTTCAACCTTTAGCGCCCCAATCGTGGATTGATCAATTTCCAATGCTTCATCGATCTCTTTTTCTATTGATTCGATCTTAAAAGTCGATTGTTTTAATATTTCAATTTCTAAGGCCTGTGTCGACGTTTCTTTTTCCTCCAACTCGAAAATTTGATCCGAGGAAGTCGTAATTTCAATTTTCTCAATTACAGATTCTGGTTCCACATCTAATGTTCCTTTGGTTTCTTTGGTTTCGATAGTAACGAAATCTGATGTTTCCTCTATTAACTTTTCAATACCTGAAATTTCTTCCACTGTCGGAGTTTCAGTTCTCCTAGTTTCCTTTGCTTTTATCCCATCCGCTTCCATTTCTGTCGTCAAAGGAATTTCTATCTTATCTTTTTCCAATGATGCTTGAACTTCGGAAACATTTAAGTAGGTAGTTTTTTCAATAACCGGCGCTTCAGATATACTAACGCTTATTTTTGCTATCGATTTGACTTCAGTAACTGAAACGTCGGTTACTCCTTCTTCGGTAATAGTAGCGGTTTCCTGTATTGTCATAAGCTTGGTTGTTCTAATTTCCTTCAATTCAGCAGTATGAAATTGTGATATCTCCATCTTTTCATCTGTATCTGATGTTGGAAATGAATCTTCCAGTTTAGAAGTAGGTACGGTAATATCACCCTTCCTCATTTTTGTTAATTCCTCCTCTAGTTCAGCAATGGTAGCAGTTTCTGAGGATGTAATGTTTTCCATTATGGAAGTGTCGGTTTCAAATATTTCCGTTATTTCTTCCACTTCTATTGTTTCAGTCATGTCGATTTCTTGCTCCACTACTTTTTCAGAAATGATCAAGTATTTAGGATCCTTGAGCATAGAAGTCGTGGATGTATATGGTACCGCTACAGTTTCAAGTTTTACTGATTCTGTAGCAGGACCTTCCTTGGTAATATATATATCCACATGTGATTTTTTCGTTATTTCTTCTTCTGGTTGGACCATTGAAGAAATTTCGACCATTAAAGAAGTTTCAGCTGAAGGCGGTGCTGTAATTGCCTGTTCTTCTAGTGTTTTAATATTAAGGGTTTCGTCTATAGTTGTTATTTCTGCAAGCTCTTGCATTTTAGAATGCTCTTTCTCTGTTATAGGCATTTTCTCAGTTGATTTTATTATTTTTTGTTTTTCTAATTCGGCGAAAACAGAAGTGTGATCTTTCTCTTCTGTTATTGCCAAAACGTCAGTTACTTTTGTTTCAACGGTATAAGGTTTTAATAATTTTGATATTTTTTCCTGCTCAGACATTGTGTCAGTAATTGTCGAATGTTTTAGATATTCAAGTTTTGAAATCGTGGCTTTAGATAGAAAAGTGCTTTCTGGTACCTCTACGGATTTAATTTTTACTGTTTCTTTAGTAGGAACTTCATCGGTTATACTAATATACATTTGTGATGTTTCTCTTATTCCTTCTTCTCTTAGTTGGTCAACAAAAGAAGTTTCGAAAGATGTAATACTATCAATCATAGAAGTTTCAGCTGAACATGTTGCTCCTTCTGGTGTCTCGAAATCAGGTGCTGATATCATATCGGTATATAATTGTTTAGTTTCTTTTAGTTCTGCAGTACGAACTTTTGATAGTTCTGTACTTTCTTCTATAACTGTTATTTCTTCAAGCTTTTGCATTTCAGATTGCTCCCTGTCTATTACAGTCATTTTGTCAGTTTCAGTAATGTCCACCCCCGTTGTTTCTGTTATTTTTTCTTCTTCCAATTTTGCAAAAACAGAAGTGTGGTCTTTTCCTTCTGTCGTTGCGAAACCGTCAGTATATAATGTTTCAGTTCTTTTGGTAGGAACTTGCTCGGTAATGCTAATATACATTTGTGATGTTTCTGTTATTCCTTGTTCCTTTAGTAGGACAATAGAAGAAGTTTCTAAAGATGTGATACTATCAATTGTAGAAGTTTGAGGTAAAAATGTTGCTGTAAATGATTTTTTAGTTTCCTTTAGTTCTGCAGTAGGAACTATTGATAGTTCTGTACTTTCTTCTATAACTGTCATTTCTTCAAGCTCTGGCATTTCAGATTGTTCCCTTTCTATTACAGGAATTTTGTCAGTTTCACTAATGTCCACCTCCGTTGTTTTTGTTATTTTTTCTTCTTCCAATTTTGCAAAAACAGAAGTGTGGTCTTTTCCTTCTGTCGTTGCGAAAACGTCAGTATATAATGTTTCAGTTCTTTTGGTAGGAACTTGCTCGGAAATGCTAATATACATTTGTGGTGTTTCTGTTATTCCTTGTTCTTTTAGTAGGACAATAGAAGAAGTTTCTAAAGATATGATACTATCAATTGTAGAAGTTTGGGGTAAAAATGTTGCTGTGAATGATTTTTTAGTTTCCTTTAGTTCTGCAGTAGGAACTATTGATAGTTCTGTGCTTTCTTCTATAACTGTCATTTCTTCAAGCTCTGGCATTTCAGATTGCTCCCTTTCTGTTACAGACATTTTGTCAGTTTCACTAATCTCCACCCCCGTTGTTTTTGTTAATTTTTCTTCTTCCAGTTTTGCAAAAACAGAAGTGTGGTCTTTTCCTTCTGTCGTTGCGAAAACGTCAGTATATAATGTTTCAGTTCTTTTGGTAGGAACTTGCTCGGTAATGCTAACATACATTTGTGATGTTTCTGTTATTCCTTGTTCTTTTAGTAGGACAATAGAAGAAGTTTCTAAAGATGTGATACTATCAATTGTAGAAGTTTGAGGTAAAAATGTTGCTGTGAATGGTTTTTTAGTTTCCTTTGGTTCTGCAGTAGGAACTATTGATAGTTCTGTACTTTCTTCTATAACTGTCATTTCTTCAAGCTCTGGCATTTCAGATTGCTCCCTTTCTGTTACAGGCATTTTGTCAATTTCACTAATGTCCACCCCTGTTGTTTTTGTTAATTTTTCTTCTTCCAATTTTGTAAAAATAGAAGTGAGGTCTTTTCCCTCTATCGTTGCGAAAACGTCAGTATATAACGCTTCAGTTCTTTTGGTAGGAACTTGCTCGGTAATGCTAATATACATTTGTGATGTTTCTGTTATTCCTTGTTCTTTTAGTAGGACAATTGAAGAAGTTTCTAAAGATGTAGAAGTTTGAGGTGAAAATGTTGCTGTGTATGATTTTTTAGTTTCCTTTAGTTCTGCAGTAGGAACTATTGATAGTTCTGTAATTTCTTCTATAGCTGTTATTACTGCAAGCTCCTGAATTTCAGAATGCTCCTTTTCTGTTACATGCATTTTGCCAGTTTCAGCAGTATAAGCTTTTAATAATTTTTCCTGCTGCGACATTGCTTCGGAAATTGTCGAGTATTTAGAATATTCCGATTGTGAAGCCGCGGTTTTAGATATAAAAGTGCTTTCTGGTACTTCTACGGTTTTATTTTTTTCTGTTTTTTTAGTAGCAACTTCCTCGGTAATACTAATATGATGTGATGTTTCAGTTTCTTCTTCTTTTAGAATGAAAATAGTAGAAGCCCCCAAAGAGGTAACATTATCAATTATAGAAGTTTCAGAAAAAAATGTTGCTCCTTCTGGTAATTCGATATCATATGTTGTAACCATGTCGGTATATGATTTGTTAGTTTCCTTTAGTTCTGCAGCAGGAATTTTTGATGGTTCTGTACTTTCTTCTATAGCTGATATTTCTGCAAGCTTTTGCGTTTCAGATTGATCCTTTTCTGTTATAGCCATTTTGTCAGTTTTACCAATGTCCACTGCTGTTGGTTTT